GAGGCTGATTCCATACACAGTTTCAAGTGTATATGTGATAGAGCCCAATAGCCTCAGGAACTTGTACATTAGTCGATTGACAGTTGAGAGGCGAGACCAAAGAGCCAGAGCTCAACCCCCGCAAGCACAACTAGGTAAGTACACACACACACACAATGATCTCCCAGAGGGAATAGACTCGTTCCTCTCATTGTTTGCTGATGATGCAAAAATTATAAGGATTAAGACAGAGGAAGATAGTATGAGGATACAAGATGACCTAGACAAAAAAAAGCTTGGCGGATGACAAACTGAATGAATGGTCCAACAAATGGCTACTAAAGTTCAACCCAAGTAAATGTATGGTAATGAAACTAGGCGGTGGGAACAGGAGGCCAGACACAGGATACCGAATGGGAGATGAAGTCCTTCATGAAACAGACAGAAAGATCTAGGAGTTGATATAACCCCAAACCTGTCTCATGAAGCCCACATCAAAAGAATAACACCAGCGGCTCATGCAAGGCTGGCTAACAGCAGGACTGCCTTCATGAACTTATGTAAGGAATCTTGCAGAACCTTGTATACCACATATGTATAAGACCAATCTTGGAATATACGGCCCCAGCATGGAGCCCGTACCTTGTCAAGCACCAGACTAGTCTCAGAACTAAGAGGCATGAGTTACGAGGAAAGGCTACGTGAAATGCACCTCACGTCGCTGAAAAACAGGAGAGCTCGGGGAGACATGATCACTACTTCCAGACTAACTCTGTGACAAACCTTTAATACATTCACTAGAACACTATAGTGTTGAATGTGAAGCCGTAAAAGATTTTAAGATCTCCACCAACTGTGTAACTATTGCATTGAATCTGGTCTACTGGACATCCTAACAATTTATCCAAAATTTGCTTGTACATTTTAATTAGAGAATGAAGGGCAATTTTATTTATATTATTTTTAAGCTGCAGCTCTTACGAACCCATCCCTGCCCTTGTGTGGCAGTGCACAATAGAGAGTTGTATTTACATATTCATACGTTGAAACATTTATTGTAACCATGATATATATGTGCTTCAGCCTACAGTTTAGACCTATTGTCTTGTGAATGACCCTCTGTCCTGTGACAGTGAATACCAGCATTATCTTCACTTTAATAAGACCTAATTGAATTCCTCAGATTAGGCAAAATTGTAATTAATTTTTTATCAAATATAGATGTTAATAAAATAAAAGGCTCTTTACCTAAATTTACTTGAAGGCAACCATATCTTTAGTGGCCTCGGCGTGGACAGGAAGCCGCCGGCTAGTCAAAGGTCTTCCTATTTTACATGAGGACTTTCTAACTGAATTTTAAACTGAAATTAGGATACTGTCCCTTCTGTCTAGTGTGAATAATGATTTAAAGTTCTCCATTCAGTGTTGGCTACCTTTTATCGTCAATTATAATTACTTGATTGGTCTAATGTTTTAAGGGTCCTGCAGAGTTGTTAATCATTTTTCTAGTAGAATTCATGTTAATTTCCAGTAAAATAACCTTCCACGATGATCCAAGCTTTGCGGTAACAAGAGGAATGGCAAGTCTAGCGTTGCAAAGTGAAGTCACAGCCCCGCTCCTGTGCCAAGTCCACTACGGGCTCACCATAGCCCGTGCTACTTGGAACTTTTGTTCTGATTAGCTGAATCTAAACCAACAACAAACAGCAAAGTGAAGTGTGGTAATGGGGCGCGCTTGGAGGTGGACAAGACCAGTAACGGCGCGCGCACTTTCTAGTCCAAGCTTCATCCGCCAATCAAAACATGGGAGAAGAGGAATATTTGCGGTATTTAACGATGAGGTGTGACTATGATTATAGATATGAATAAAGTTTAGGAACATGAGGGGTAAATACAGTCTTAACCACAAATAGGAATGATTAATGTTCCAAATATAGTGTTGGACTCCCCGGGGACTGAGCTGGCATGAGGCCAAACCTTCTCGCCTCCATTAAACTAAAAAAAAAAAAAAATCCACTAACCCTTGAATGGTATCAATGCAAAGCATTGAATTAACCATCATTATGATGTGGTTAAATATCACACCACGCAATCGTATGCAGTTTATAATTAATGCCGCTTTTAAAGTCGGAGTTCATGCAAACTTGAATGGTTGAGCGTAAAATACACTACATTGCCATCCTGTGAAGATTTTTTCACTAGCATTCAATCATTTTCACCTAACAGTGTCCGGAACGTTTGTTCGCTTAAAATGTCGTTCAGGGTTTGTAAAATATCAATAAATACACATGAGATCACCCAGCACGCATACCTATTCACCTATCTGTATCTGCATGGTCGAGCTACAGGTCCTGCAACCTGTTATTAATAGAAAACAAAAAAAATTGAGAGGCTCAATTGGTACAGGCCTATACTTGGCGGGTCATCTAATGCAATAAACCCCGATCTACATTTATGTCACAACATTTATGTTGCGCATAGCTGTCTTCCACTACTACCTTCTTGTCTAGCTCATTCCATACATACTACGCTAGTTTATTTTATATATTTTGGAGGGGAAGTGTGTGTATGTGTGTATGCGCAATTACCTAAGTGTAGTTACAGGATGAGAGCTACGCTCGTGGTGTCCCGTCTTCCCAGCACTCTTTGTCATATAAGGCTTTGAAATTACTGACGGTTTTGGCCGCCACCACCTTCTCACCTAACTTGTTCCAACCGTCTACCACTCTGTTTACAAAAGTGAATTTTCTTATATTTCTCCAGCAGCTTTGTTAAATGACGACAGAAAAAGCTCTATTTTCACTCGAGAAATTACCGGTGGTTCAACTGTTTTTCACCCTGACTTCAACACTGCATGATTTATTTCGCAATGTCACATTGTCACACACACAGTGAGTGAGTGAGTGAGTGAGTGAGTGAGTGTGTGTGTGTGTGTGTGTGTGTGTGTGTGTGTGTGTGTGTGTGTGTGTGTGTGTGTGTGTGTGTGTGTGTGAGTGAGTGAGTGAGTGAGTGAGTGAGTGAGTGAGTGAGTGAGTGAGTGAGTGAGTGAGTGAGTGAGTGAGTGAGTGAGTGAGTGAGTGAGTGAGTGAGTGAGTGAGTGAGTGAGTGAGTGAGTGAGTGAGTGAGTGAGTGTGTGTGAGTGAGTGTGAGTGTGTGTGTGTGTGTGAGTGTGAGTGTGTGTGTGAGTGAGTGTGAGGGTGTGTGAGAGTGAGTGTGTGAGAGTGAGTGTGTGTGTGTGAGAGTGAGTGTGTGAGAGTGAGTGTGTGAGAGTGAGTGTGTGAGAGTGAGTGTGAGTGAGTGAGTGAGTGAGTGTGAGTGAGTGAGTGAGTGAGTGAGTGAGTGAGTGAGTGTGTGTGTGTGTGTGTGTGTGTGTGTGTGTGTGTGTGTGTGTACTCACCTAATTGTGCTTGCGGGGGTTGAGCTCTGGCTCTTTGGTCCCGCCTCTCAACCGTCAATCAACTGGTGTACAGATTCCTGAGCCTATTGGGCTCTATCATATCTACATTTGAAACTGTGGATGGAGTCAGCCTCCACCACATCACTTCCTAATGCATTCCATTTACTAACTACTCTGACACTGAAAAAGTTCTTTCTAACGTCTCTGTGGCTCATTTGGGTACTCAGCTTCCACCTGTGTCCCCTTGTTCGCGTCCCACCAGTGTTGAATAGTTCATCCTTGTTTACCCGGTCGATTCCCCTGAGGATTTTGTAGGTTGTGATCATGTCCCCCCTTACTCTTCTGTCTTCCAGTGTCGTGAGGTGCATTTCCCGCAGCCTTTCCTCATAACTCATGCCTCTTAGTTCTGGGACTAGTCTAGTAGCATACCTTTGGACTTTTTCCAGCTTCGTCTTGTGCTTGACAAGGTACGGGCTCCATGCTGGGGCCGCATACTCCAGGATGAATGATTCCTTACACAGGTTCCTGAACGCCGTTCTGATGTTAGCCAGCCTGTGATCTTTCTCTCTGTCTGTTTCAGAGTGAGTGAGTGTGTGTGTGTGTGTGTGTGTGTGTGTGTGTGTGTGTGTGTGTGTGTGTGTGTGTGTGTGTGTGTGTGTGTGTGTGTGTGTGTGTGTGTACTCACCTATATGTACTCACCTATATGTGCTTGCAGGATCAAGCATTGACTCTTGGATCCCGCCTGACTCCTGTCCCATTTCCCTATCATACCTAGTTTTAAAAGTATGAATAGTATTTGCTTCCACAACCTGTTCCCCAAGTGCATTCCATTTTTCTACTACTCTCACGCTAAAAGAAAACTTCCTAACATCTCTGTGACTCATCTGAGTGTTTCCACCCATGTCCCCTCGTTCTGTGTGTGATGAGAGTGAGTTCGCCAGTCCGACTTTTCGCCCCTTACCATTACCCTCTGGCTCCTTCCTGTTAGGTGTGTGAGCATGTGTGTGAGAGTGAGTGTGTGAGAGTGAGTGTGTGTGATGTGTGTGTACTCACCTAGTTCTACTCACCTAGTTGTGCTTGCGGGGGTTGAGGTCTGCTCTTTCGGCCCGCCTCTCAACTGTCAATCAACTGTTACTAATATTTTTAAGAGGATGTTACCCATCCTTTTAAAATGAAAGTTCTTATAGTGAATATATAGTCGCTCATACAAATATGCTCATAATGGACCAATAGAAAGTAAACTTCTGTATTACAGAATTTGGACAAGCAGAAAAATTTTCTATTTATGTTGCTAATGAAACCTAACCATCTTAGGCCTAATACACACTTTCTGAGGCCTAATATAGTACATGTACTGTATGTGCTATACTAGGCCTAGGAATATTTAAGTTTGGTTTGAGATTTATATTTTCCGGACTACATAAACTAGAAAATTCTACTTACAATTTGTCCATCATGTCGATATTTGTACGATCGTCCAAAAAGCTACAAAAATCTTATCAGGATCTTATCAGCAGGATGAGTTGTTTAGATCATGGTGTCCTATTTGTGATTTTTTGTGTGTAATATAGTATTGTTATCTTGCAAAGAGGTTTCTTCAATTCACTAAAGTGAAACACAACAATACAAAATACTTTTTATCTATATAACAAATAGCACCACCAATGTGTAGTGATCAATCTAAGCTTGACACAACCCATTTACTGGATATAATATGGAAGTGGCTAAACGTGATCCACTTATCAAATATCTTTTACAGAACTTTTGATATTGCCTTCTACAAGTAACATAATACAACCCATATGAAGAATAACACTGAATTCCCTACTTACTTTCTGACATCCACAACCATACCTTGAGATGGTTGGTTGGTTCGAGATGGTTTCGGGGCTTAGCGTTCCCGCGGCCCGGTCCTCGAACAGGCCTCTTCATATCAATTACCATCACCATCATATTACATTGAAAATGCAATACAGTACACCAATTATGAGTTAAAATGTACACTCTTTCAAGGTTGTAAAAGAAGAATGCAACTTAGACTTACCAATACACCATAAATTGCATTTTTTATTAGCGTGTAAAACAGAATCGCAAAATCACCCTAGATCATGAATTCTGAATAAATCTATGGATATGCAGAAAATTTACATCCCTGAAGTTGACAATCACATAAACAAGAATTTGTTCACGTAACCTTAAACAATCATGTAAGTTTAAACAATCTTGGTACATATAGTACATGTACATATACAATAAGTATACAGTACATGCCAATGAAGTGTTCACCATGACAAATTTTAAGAGATATTGTTGACAATGGAACCAAGAGAACTTAAACCCGTTCTGGTAAAGCACATTATAATGACTATTTGCTTATAAATATCATTCCATTTCATCACCTCAATGAAGTGTCCTTTACAATACAAAAATAAAAAGTGAGTTCTATACAGAACTTGCAGAACTGATGGCCATCTCTATATCCAAAAGGCATATAGAGAAGACCTGCTGAGAGAGAGGGTGAGGCAGCTGAACTTCCCTGTTTGGTAATTCAGTCATCAATTATATTATAAGCCAAAGCCATACTGTTTATAAAATGTGCCAGGCAGTGTATAAATACAATAGAAAATGGAACTTTTAATCATAATTAATATTTTGCAGGCAACATGTCAACTACAACAAAAATGCTAACTATCTATATTGACAGACAATCATCAACCAGGCCTACTGTTCTCTGTGTAGTACAGGGGTACGCATATTCAGTACATGTTTAAAAGCTGCAGTTTCAGGCATTTTGCCATGCTTTGTCACTATTGACTTGAGTTGTGGTTCTCTGATATCACCTCTCATGTCATCACACATATCCAGCAAGCGGTTACCTTCCAAATGTAAGACTCAAAAGAAGGCACCAAGCCAGGAAGACTATGTAGCATGAAGTGTTTCAAAATAACATAAGCCCACTGCATGGTGTCACAGTTTCAAAAGATGAAAATTGTCACTTTACTGAATTTCACTGTCTTAAGTGGCATGGGGACGAGACAGGAAAAATGCAAAGCGGCTCAAGTCAAGAAACCCCATGTTGGTGTCAATGCTGCTACCTAATAGTAATTGGGAGTAGTGACTAAGCAGGCAAATTGGCAGTTAGTGAGCACTACTTTATGGATGCAGTGAAGCCAAGCAGGTCTGAAGAGCTTGGATAATGAATGAAACTTCCAATGGGCATTCTGGGCTGGACTGAGTATTTCTCTACCTAATAGCACCAGTATGACCCAGCAAGAATACAGTATCTGAAATGATTTCAGCTGTGACTGAAGAATGTTGACCTACCCTCAAAATCCATCATCTGTTCCCAAATGAAACATAATGAAATTTGTCAAAATTCATTTTCATGCAAATTAAAATGTTAATCCTAATCACCAATTTATCACGAGAAATTACATTTAGACTGAACTCGTAGGACTTTTGAGTCTTATTTACTAAAAATATTAAACAAAAATTATAATAATAATAGTGCTGAGTGTAGTCCCTTAGCATACAGAACGATCCATCCCTAGGACATTATGATGACAGTAGGCATTGGAAGACTTCTGTATCCGCTTGGGACAAGTACTTTTCAAATTCTGTCATGTCTCCTCAATGAAGTGGGAAGATTAAGATAACACATGAATCATATAAATCAAAGCAAATCACATTCAATAACATTAAGAGGCATCACAAATCACTCAAGCCTCCCCTGAAAGATATTTGGCAATGACGGCCACCAAACAACCTATTAAAACCACAACAAACACTTATCTGACAACCACCAGATGGCAACCCCTACTAACCAAAGGGTCAGGGAAAGGGATTCATTCCAAACTCACCGAAAGGTATCTAATATGGTACAGTTCAGTGTGGGGGTAAAATTTACGTAGAAAATCTGACCATCTCAGAACAAACTTTTCAGCACTGACCCAGATGTGCAGATTTATTATGGACCATGATTAATGGACATACTGTACAGTGTTGTGAATCTAGTCAATAGATACAGGCAACAATTTAATGAGAGACTTGATCTACAAGAAATAGAATTTTGTTTAAGATGCTTATTCCAGCATTGTTGTGTTAATACATTTCAAGACTGTAATTAAAATGTTCTGGGTGATATGAAGCACTGTTGGAGAGTGCATTGCTTGGGGAAAATTCTGTTTGATAGTAAGGTGAAATGGGTGAAGATATATCAATAAATTCATAGAGAAAGGCACTTATTACAAAATGGACATATAAACATTTGCAAGTTGTACATCACAGGCAGCTTTGTGTATAACTTGAACTGTAATCCTAAAATTGAGAGCAATTTTAAAAACCTGCAATATTGACCTGTATAGCAGCAAAAAATGTTGCTATGAAGGTCAATATTTAAAAAAAAAACTGTAAATTTAAAATGAAGCAAAATACAATTTAAATTTATATGCAACCTCAATCAAGAATAGAACACAACATAAATATATATATATACTTAAAAATATATACTTCTACAACATAACATGGATTACTTACCATATAACACTGGCAGCTTACTGAAATGTGTGAATAACAACATTTTATTAAATTCATTTAATAAACACTAGCGTAGACATGTGCTAATAATATCACAGCATAAGACACTAGTTGTCAGTCAGCAACACTTCTTCCTCGTCGTCTTGTTATGCAGGGTGATAACTGAATCTTGTAATGTGGCAATAACATCTTCATTTCTAAGTGCAAAGTCTTCAACAACACAGTTGAACAACTCTTCAACATTTTTTCCCGTCTTGCTTGATGTTTCAAATACTTTTGCACCAACCTATTATGCAAAAAATGAATAATTTACCTCAAATAACCAGCATTGAATGTAATGAAACGCCATTTTCTGGGTGAGACCCGGAGGCTCCCCAGAACTATCTGGGCTGATACGGAATATTAGCTTTGGACATCAGTCAATGTACTGTACATGGAGTTCTAGGCCTACCAAGGACCACGAGCCTGAACCTGGTCCCCCTCAGAGAGGCACGGGGAGCAATGACCTATAGAGACACCTTATATAGAATTTAGAAGTACTCTATGTCTGCCATCGACCGGGTCGGGCACCCAGAAAGACAGGCACCCCAAAACACCCCCCATTCTGGTTAAGAATTGCTACCACAGCCAAAACAAGGGGGATAGAACTCCCCCATGAAGGGGGGCATGAGTTTAGTTTTCTAAAAAGTTGTTCAATGTCAACCAATATTTTTTGACTAGTTGTATATGAAAAGGGCTGCAATTGTTCCAAGTTTCAGTACTGCAACCTAAATAGAAAGGGAGATTTGTTTTTTCAACGAATATTACACATTTTCAAGCGAGTTCAAACCTTTCACCTTTTCAGATATAATCATTCTATGACACTTTTCTGACACATGAGCATATAATAAAGGATCTGTTAGAGGGAAGTTTCCAAAACATCTTTTCATAGGGAGTTCTATCCCCTTATTTTGGCTGTGGTAGCAATTCTTAACCAGAATGAGGGGTGTTTTGGGGCACCTATCTTTCTGGGTGCCTGACCCAGTCAATAGCAGTCATACCATATAAGGTGTCTCTATAGGCCATTGCTCCTCGTGCCTCTCTGGGACTGGCGAGGTTCTGGCTCATGATCCCCGGTAGGCTTAGAACTCTATGTACATTGACTGATACCCAAAGCTAATTCTCCGTATCAGTCCAGATAGCTCCGGGGAGCCGAAGGGGCTTCCTTCCAGCAGAAACTTTACTGTACAATAAGAAAAAATTCTGAACAAATATTACTTTTGAGTAAATATGAAAAATACATTTTTGAGTAGCATCATTCAGTTGCTCTCTAAGATAAAGATCAGGCGAGTCATATGACCAAGATCTTCATTAACAGTCAGGCAGGATGACTTTCTAAAGTAATACAATTACAAGTGAATACCAACAGAGGGCTATCATAACGGCTTGTTTGATGCCTGAGCTTCATATACAGTACTGACTACTACCAGACAGCCTCACAATGTACACCTCAGTTTTCCAAGAATCAGACTGCTGTACATACACACAAAACTCTTACAATCTGCTCATAGCAGAGCCAAAAATTTACAAGAAGGATTGGGAGCAGCTAAACAATTCTGCTCAGAAAGGTAATTTTCATATTCACTAAAAGTTATATTTCAGACCAATCACATTTAGTTGCTCCTAAAGGTAAGAATATTAAGCTGAAGAAAATAACAAAGGGATAGAACTCGGCTGTATTGCAGAATAATGCATGATGAAAGTTGAAGGGAACATAGTAAATGTCCACCAGAAATAGACATACCAGGGAATAAGGAACCAGCAATGCTTGCCAACGGCAAGGAATTCAGCAATATGGCCTACCCAATGCCACACACTGGGGATGCAAAGGTAAATCTTGGGCAGCTTGTGCTCCACTAAGGAGCGGCTGGTCCCCGAGGAAAACCAAGTAATGATGTGGTGATTTCTGCATCGCATATAATGAGTATTCAAATTCTGTGATCAAAGACACATTCTTATTAAACTGGCTTAGAAATGGCCTGTGAGGTATCACTCAAATGCCCCACTACCAGCATTGATAATATCAGCCTATTTGATAAACAAGAAATAACAGAAAATCTATCCTCAATTAGTCTGAATGTAGAGAAAGGATTCAGGGGGTATTTTGGGACTCTTAGGTGCCTTTATGGCCATGTACAGGGGGGGCCAGATTGTGCAAGAGTAGTGTCACTTTTGTTACCAGAAGAAGAGGCAAATACAAACTACTTAATTCTGAGTGTTCATGAAAAAAAAGAAAAGAAAACCATTTGAAATAAAGTAGGGAACTGCATTCCCAGAGGAGAATTCATACTTGTGTTGACAATGCCAAGTGGTGGATGCCTCTAAATATCTGAGCCAAAGATTATAATGTTCATCCAAGTCACACCAATTCCAGTTAAATTACAGCAATCCTAAAGTCCCCAGCTGCCTGAATCAACAGTTGTGGTTCCCTTCTTAGACTCTTTGTTGGAGAAGACTGTCATACCATTACTACATGGTACAAGTCATTGCAGAATTGAGTGTGCATCAGTAGTAATCACTAGCCAGCTGTGTGAGGGTGCACACCACCACAGGTTGTACTGCCTACCAAAGCTGACCCATCTCCAGTCTCCCTTCAATATACAATCTTATTTTACCTCGGTGACAAGCACCAGTATGTTTCTGTGAATTCTACTTCTCCCAGAGCGCCAATTAATACTTCCATTCCACTGGACAGTATACGTGGCCCACACCTCTTTCTCATATACAGTACATCAATGACCTACCAAATGCAACACAACACCTTAAGCTAATACAGTATCATTTACTGATGGTACTATAAATACTGTATGGTACAAATATGACTAATGGTGATCAGTCATAAAATAAGTCTTCCACATCAAATGCCACACAACTAACTTCTGAAGTGTGCACTTTTAAATGCACACCTCAGTACAGTTGTTAGTTTGTACCTCTGTCAGTCATTCTGGGCTAGATGGAGTTTTTCTTATAGTGGCCCTGCAGTGCCCATTTGAAAAGCTTGCTCTAGTGCCTGTTCCAGAATGTCATTCTGCCCAGCTGTTCATGATTCTGGTTATGACACAGCATATCCTACCATAAGAGAGCATACAAATTTGATAGCTAAGAAAAGTACATTTAGCAATGCACAAAATCTTGAAAGGCTAACAACTTATATAAATCCCTGACAATAATAGTTTAAATGAATGCATGATAGCTATGAATCACTGTGAATCAAAGTATAATGATAACCTCACTTTGAGGGCTAAAAAATCTTTACTTTGATGATATACATATATTTTTTTTATGATTCTCATAAAGAACTCTATATTCTCTTAATATAGAACTTGATATTCTTTTAATATAGAAAATGTTTCTTACAAATATTTTCCCCAAATGTTTATTTGAGGATATCTGCAATAATTACATGTCACTGTGGTAAATAGGTAGATGTTATAGTGATTTTTGTTTTGTTTTGTTTCACTGAACAATGGTGTCCAATGAACGGCTACAATCTGAGTACAAGCGACTTTATTCAACATTAAAGTGATACAATATGACCTAAGTGCCAAGTGCCAATTTGACCTAAGTATATTGGCAAATAACAGTAAAATATATAGTCAAAATGCAAGGATGTGTAAGTAAAAAATGACAACTATGCAGTGTAGTTGCATAGGCAGTGACAAATATTCACAGATAATGTACAGTAATATGACAATGTCACTCAAATTAATAAAACAAGAAGCCTTACCTCCTCAGCATAATCAGAGAGATCATGGTAGTCAACTTGCCGTAACTGAGACTTATCACTCACTAAATCAACTTTTGTGCCACAGAGAAATATTCTACAATCTTCTTCGTGTTTCTGCACTTCTCCCACCCAAAATTTGGCACGATCAGCGCTGGTTAGGGCATAATAAAAATAAAAAGATTGTAATGAAAAATAAATGTGAACATAATAGTAAATTATATATTTCAGTAAAGGGAAAAATGCAACCAAATATCAGATCATGAAGCCACAATACAGTATCAACTGAATGCACACTATATATACAGAAGAACCTTGGTACAGTACTTGAATGGTTCCCAACTTGACCACTTTGGCACTCGAATGTTGTGTTCATGATTGGCAATCGATTGTTTGTTTGGCACTCAAACTTAAACATGCATAATAGATGAGTCAGTTTCTCAGTACTGTAGCTGTTGTTCAGTGAACTAAACACAAGAAACTTCTCTAAATTTCTTGTGTTTTCTTTGATACTCTTTTATATTCCTAGTGTAAGTAAGTCACTATGACACCTAAGAATTAGTGATGAGTCAAATGCAAGAAAATTACAGTACAGTACTATAGTCAGAACCATGAAAGAGATGAAAAATCTGACGTGCCTCACCTGAATCGAGCAGCCAGTGTGCTGCCGATTCAAAAAGAATGAATTCATAGCAATTCAGAATTCTGATTGGCTCTCAGTTTGCAGAGCCATGGTGAAACTCTTAATTTTTTGTTTGCAGAATCTGGTTCTCACTGCTTTGAAAGACAGCATCCTCAAGTCAACAATCAAGGTGCACGCAACTACTGTCTCTAGGCCAGAGACAAAATTGTGAACCAAGCCATCTAATGCCATCTTAACATAGATGCTAATGTAATTGCAGTCACTGACTACAGTGAATCAGTAGTCATACTTCTCAACATCATTGAGAATAAACCAGAGTTGAGTGTAATGAAACATCTCTTTCTGATTGGACCTCAATGGCTCCCAGTTTTTCTAGCCACACTGAGATAGTGCCACATCTATAAGTCACATCATAGCTTGTGAGTCCTTAAAAGCCTGCCAGAGATCAAAGGCCAAAGCCAGTTCCTCTCAGAGTGGAGCAGGGGATTCATGATCACCCTCACCAATGAATCAAACCCCCAAAAAGAAAGTGAAGCAAAACAGAGAACTGCAAGGTTAACAGAAAGTAAACAATGTAGCAAACAACTCAGCAAACAATCCACCAAGAAGTTAGATCACACAGCCTCCACTAACAACTGACCACTACCATGGGACTGCACCAATGTCAACACTCCTGTCTGGAGCCTAAGAAAAGGCAACTAATGCCATCATAAGAACATAAGAATTTTAAGGAAGATGCAGAAGGCCTATTGGCCTATGTGATACTTGCTTTATCACTGTCAGTTATATATCAGTTGCATCATCAGGACATCAAGCAGATATCAACATCTACAGCCCAGAAAAGTAAATCTTTACTGGTTCAGGAACCAATCTTCCAAGTATAACATTGTGCCTGTGAAATTGTGTTCTAAGTACTGACCAATCACCTTATGACATGAAATTAGGAATGCATCCCTGTTGTAAGTTGGGGACCCCCAGTATATACTGTATAATTGACTAACCTCTCTGCATTTGTTACATCATAACAAATGACTGCTGCCTTTGCATCCCTGTAATATATACGGCTCATTGCTTCATATCGTTCACTTCCTGCTGTGTCCCACAGGCCAACACAAATCTGCTTTCCTTGTACATCTACACAACGAGCACCAAATGCTGCACCTTTAAAAGAAAAAATAAAGAAGTTTATAATGAGCTTGTAAAAAAGCTATTTTCTGGGCACATTCATTCTGTTGCTACCATAGGAATATCTTCTTCACTGCCCATAAGTCAAGCAGGCAAGAAATACAGACATTGACATCACAGGCACTTGACAACAAGATTGTCAGTAAATCCAGTCAAAATGAATAGAGGTTCTTGAGTAGGTTCACAGGCTAAGTATTACTGATTTCCAGTGACATGATATGACTGCCAATGTTAACCTAGAAACTCAATAATCAATTGCAACACATTACTAGTCAAATCTCATCAGGTACAAACTCTGTTGCCTGAAGTTAATGGTAGTAGAAGCAAATGCTTAAGCAAAGTCATATAAGGACAATGGCACTTTGAAAGGTTCTATGCAGATAAAATCCAATGCAGTATCTATACTGTACAACAATTAGATTTTGAGTAGGGCATAAGAATGTCAACAAAAAATTGGATCTGTGTACTACTTTAAAGTATTAAGAGTTGTAAGCTGATCAGCAAAGGCATACTGTACTTCAAATATTGTATGGAAATTAAGAAAAATAAAAAGAATAATAAGGTACCCTTACCAGGGATACATAATAAGTACCTATGGTAGTCTGGTAGTTTGTGTTAAAGCGATTATATATAAAACGCTCAACAAGACTTGTCTTGCCACAAGATGCTTGCCCAAGCATAACAACCTTCATGTCAACCTTTCCAGTCATCTTGCTCACTGAAAAAAAATTACTTATTTAGTTCAGTTTAACATAATTTCAAGTACAGGACTGTAAATTAAGTACATTAGTTGGGTAAAGTCCCCTGTCTCTGGACGCTTGAGAAAATTTTGTACATTCTTGGCGGATTAAAATACTGTATCTCATATTTTTTGCAACATTTGTGGCTTTGTAGTAAATAAAAAAGTAGAGACAATGCTTAATAAAACAAGCATTGAATGTAATGAAGTACTGTACTTATTTCTAATGCAGCATTTCTCAACCTTTTTACCCTTCTGGAACCCTTTAAATAATGAACAAATCCACAAGGGCCATGACGAGGGTTCGAACCTACGTCCGAGAGCATAATTTCTCGAGCAAAAATTACATAATAATTTCCTTTAAATAATTGTTATGTCTCAAGTCACATCATACAAGGAACCCCCTGTATAAAATTTTTTATATAATATATTATATACACAGAATTTACTAACTTCAAAAACATATACAGTATTTATTAATCATAAAAATTCATCTATATTTGTAAACACAAAAAATAAACAATTGACAATGTTGAAAAAGCAAAATATAAACTGAGGAAATATGAACAAATATGAGGGTGAAGATAATGTTATTTTTAAAGCCAATTTAGATAATGAAATTTATTTCTCTAAATGTGAGACCTCTGCCTTGGGGTCAAACTTTAAATAAACACACAAATTATATTTTCAAATGAAGATGATTTCTGTCTTTCCTCTTGATAATGATTGAGAAAAAGGTTGTTCACACGTGTAAAAAATTGAAAACTGCAGCAATATGTGTATTGTTTTCCTATGAATTACAAGATAATTATCTTTCACACAAATCCAGAGATAGGTCAGTGAATCTCATCTTAAGTGTACATTCAAAGTGCAGCTCACAAAGGTCTCCCTCTTCTTTTTCAAGTCAAGTTCCCAGGATCAGCAGAAGATTTAGAGCATGGCGCCCTCACCCAATCGTACAACACTTGTGTTGAAAGGGAGGGGAAAATAACGTACGAGTTTGGTCGACAGTTCTTTGCATATAAATGTGATAACTAGGCTAATGCCTATTTATCACATTTATATGCATTTATATGTCTTATTTATCACATTTGAATGTGATAAATAGGCATTAGCCTATTTATCACATTCTCTTGCTAGCATTTGCTCTTGCTTTCCTATTTATCGCTTTCTCTTGCAAGTTGCGCTTGCTTTCTCCAACCCTAGTGGGTTGGGTTATCTTGAGATGATTTCGGGGCTTTAGTATCCCCGCGGCCCGGTCCTCGACCAGGCCTCCACTCCCAGGAAGCAGCCCGTGACAGCTGACTAACACCCAGGTACCTATTTTACTGCTAGGTAACAGGGGCATAGGGTGAAAGAAACTCTGCCCATTGTTTCTTGCCGGCTCCTGGGATCGAACCTGGGACCACAGGATCACAAGTCCAGCGTGCTGTCCGCTCGGCCGACCGGCTCCCTGGGTGACTAAATTTCAGCCACGTTATTTTTGCTTTTTTGTCTATGTACCAATTTTGTGAGTAAAATGAAAGTTTAATTCAATTTAGATTTGATAGGTAAGCAAAGGTCTAAAACATGTCAGCATTAAAATTATGACACCTCGTGCACACCATATATAAAACACAATTATATCTCTCCATTTTGTTAGTTTAAAATGGGTTGAGTTAAGTTTGTTTAAAGAGCAGCTATGTCACATACAGGCCAAAGTTTGCTCAGGTCTTACACCCTATTTGACTAGGCTGGGCTTAAGTTTATCTTGCCTTGAATGTACTGTATATATACAGTATATTATATATATGTATATATATATATAATTATATAAATTTGCACATGAGAAAATGTGATGGGCTGACCACAATTTTAACTCTTAACAATCATTTAATATCCAAATATAAATCACATTACTGTGTAGTCTAAAGTTAACTATGTCTTTTGTTATGCCCAAATTACAGATCCTTTTTTTTTAAATACTGTAGGAGTAAATGACCTTTACATAACATCCTAAATACAGCAATGCACATCCTGTTTGTATAAAGCTTGCACTATCAGCAAGTTTCTTATCTTATTACCATGTACCACAACACTGCTTACAGTATTGTAATTACATTGATTTAGATTATTACCCTTGTAATTTTATTACAAATTTGGGGCAAAATGAAACTTAATAAGACTAGTTCATATATGTAAATTGCCAGTGTAATTCAGCCCACTGTGTGACTAATCTTTCCGCCATATTCCACAATAAAGTTATAAGGGTGATAATAAACTAATTATTTATAATCTAATAAAGGAGCACCTTCTATATAGATACTTTACCAAGCCTGGGAGGGAGACACGAGTGCCCTGCTGGACGCCAGTGGACCCCAGACCCAGACTGGAGGTAAACAAGGCCACGCGGGCCCCAGCAACCACCACGCTCCCACCACCACCACCATCCTGGGGCCCCCTCCAGCCACACCCCGGGGCTCCCTCCAGCCACCACCCTGGGGCCCCCACCAGCCACACCCTCGGGGTCCTGACACCCACCCTCACCCCTGGAGCAAGACCAGCCACACCCCTGGGGTCCTGACCAGCCACACCCCCGGGGTCCTGACACCCACCCTCACCCCCGGAGCCCTGACCACCCACACCCCGGAGTTAGACCAGCCACACCTCCGGCGCCCTGAACCCCCCCCCATCACCCCCAGAGTTAGTTCAGCCACACCCCCGGGGCCCCGTCCAGCCACACCCCCAGGAGTCCCGACTAAACAGTTTTTTGTTATCGTTTTATTTATATATACAAAGAGTTCTTACATTCTTGTACAGCCACTAGCACGCATAGCGTTTCGGGCAAGTCCTTGATCCTATGTTCCCCGGAATACGACCCGCCAAATCGTTTAGTACCCATTTTAATGTTGGGTAAACAGAGGCTACAGTTAAGGATTGACGCCCAGTCAATCCTCGCAGTTGCAATTTTCTTACAACTTCAGTTGCAACTTTCCAGCAACCGCGAAGCTGCAGTAATTTCCAGCAACTTCAGTTGCACTTTACTAGCAATTGCAGTTGCACAACATTCCATGCAACTTGCAGCTGCAAATATTTTATGAATTTAAATTAATAAAAAGTTACACCGTCTATGATTTTGTTTTCACCCGACGCATGAAAAAGCATGACTCGCGACAGTAGAGCTAGGATTGATTTTTTTTTTGTCATCTTGTTGCAATTGTCGAGGCATCCACAATGCTGGTTCCTCTCTATGTCCCATGAAGCCCCGCGTGAGAAATTCCAAGCAGGCACCCATAAGCAGAGTAAACGAAGATGCGAAAGAAGGCAAGATCGTACTGCAGGAAACAGGAAGAAACAATGGACAGACATCGAAAGTCTCTATGACCAACTTTTGGGAGAAGGGCACTGCGCCGATTACGCACAGCCTAATGGCAGTAGGATTGATTGATAAAGATTAAGCCACCCTAGAGGTGGCACGGGCATGAATAGCCCGTAAGGCAGTAAAAAACGAAGCCGAAAAAGTGAATCCTCGTGGTGTTGAGGTGTAGGGCAGCGTTTTGGATTCTGCGGTCGATATACAGATCTTGGAATACCTAAAAAAAAAAAACGTTGGACAAGAGGATTGAAGCTCTAGAAAGATTAGCCATGGCAAACAAATAGCGTGTAGTGGAGATTGAAGTGGGGAATGAAAAGGAGAGGGAAGAAAGTAAGGAAGAGGATGGAAGAGTCTCAGGAAAATGAACTATCCACTAATGATGGCAGTGTGGTGGAAAATTTTGACGGAGAGGCTCAGGAAAAATGGTATACAAAAAAATGAATTTAAAGAAGCTATGGACAGTTAAGAGTCTGAGAACAGAGGGAAAAATTACTGCATCTACGTTGTATTCCTCCCGTGTGTTAAATGTTTCTTTGGCAATGAAATACATTCTTGAAGGACATCATGCTTTGTAACATTAAAACATAAGGATCTTATTATGCCTTCACATGCATTATTCATTTCTTCCCACCTTTTGAAGTGAGAGGATTAATTCATATGCTCCCTCGCTTCTCATCAATTTAATCGCTGAAGCTTCATTTATCTCTGAAATTCTGAGTATCCTCAATGCTTTTTAAATTCAATCATATCATCATTATCTCAGTAATAGTCTTCTTTTAGGCCATGAGAATAATCTTGGAATTATTCTCATGGTTTCTTTTTGTACTTTCTTCAACTTGTTTAGTCTGCCTTTACCAACACAAGAAATGACAGGGGGAGCATAATCAATAAGAGATCTCACAGTATGCTATGTTTACCATTGGAATGTGAAATGTAAAATATGATTAATAATTGTGTACTGTATGGGTTTGTGAGCCCCTTGAGGGACCGTCTTATGTAGACGAGGGTAGAAATAGCCTATCCTTTTGAGATGTACTTCCTGTTCTCAATAAACTTACTTGAACTGTGCTGAATTTTAAAATCCAGCTTCAAAAAATTATTTTGATAAATGTAGGGACATGTGACAAGCCGCCGGCTTCCTGTCCCAATCATGGCCATTAGTGTATTAGTAGCCCACAGGTAAATTCAGGCAAATTTTCCATCTGTCCATGGAGGGTCGTGGAGGCGACAAATCTGACCCATCACACCTAGTATGCCCTCTGCATGAACATCTGAATTTACCTGAATTTACATGTGTTTACCTATCATTGACTATTGAAAGTGAGATCTAGCTCTTTATGACCCGCCGCTTAGCCGTTTACACCTGACACACTAATTAGTTTAATCAATATTTATGCTTTTGTCATATTTTTTCTTAAAGATTTGCATAGAATTGATTTCAACAACCTCCTCCTTCAATGCACTATACTTGGCGACCACTAGTACAGGGAAAGAAAACATACTTACATTGTTTCCACTCGATTGCACGTCCAGTTTTCACTTGTATTGCCTTGTTCTACTGCCTTTTAATTTAAATAGGCTTTTTTCGCCTAGTCCCTGCAGCATATTGTATGTAGTTATCCACTCTGTTTCTTCTTTCCTCTAAGTTTGTGAGGATGAATTCTCTCAACCTGCCCTCGTAGCTGAGGCCTCTCAATTCTGGTACTAATCTAGATGCAAACCTCTGAACTTTCTCAAGTTTTTGTTTATTCTTCACAAGATGTAAGTTCCATGCTGGTGCTGCATACTCGAGTATAGTGGTCTCACATAAGAAAGTTTGAATGAACTTGAAAGACTTCTTGTTTAGATTCTTAAATGATGCTCTTATGTTTGCAAACGTCTATAGGTGGGGTGGGCGGAAGCTGGGGATGGCTAGGTCGCCAGTGCACATGCGTACAAAAAATTCCATGAATGAAATTTTGTCTTTCAGGGTTCAGGCAATAGCTCTACATAGGTCATAAGATTGTCACAGATGCCTGGTTTAATTTTACTTGGGATACAAGCTTATAAGCACTGGGAAGGAGCCCCCAGAAAGGGGCATTTCATATTCAACACTTTTTGTCTTCACCTTAGAATAAACACATGTGCCTCTTAATTTCATTAGTGTGTTCTTCATATCATAATTACAATAAAGTGTATAAAAATAGAAAATGTAAAGAAAAGTACTGTATAATTATGACACAATGTTTGTGAAATAATGAAACAAAGTTATCCAGAACAAAATTTATTCTATAGCATTACAGTATTCACATATAGTTTGAAATTTAACACAAGGACAGAAAGGTAGTTTAATTTTGAGACAATAAAAAACTATATACGATAAACTCTATAATGTCCTTATTTTAATATTAATTTTTTTTAGAATAGTATATAAAGAACCAAACATATCCTACAATGATAGCACAAATAATTAACAACTCTGTATATAAAGCAAAAATAGAAATTTATCCAAAATTGTTGATCCCTCCTCATGTGTGAGCTGGTATATAACAAATGTGAAGGAAATTATCTGGATGACTGAGGTGCTCGCTGAGCCACTGTATAGGTGTATCCCGTGGTGCCTCGATGCCTTGAATTACTACCCGGTCTCCTGAAATAGATTTCATGCTAAACTGTACTATTACAGAATATTATCTCACTTTTAAATCTTTAACTATTTAACCACAAATTTATATTTTCAGTTATTGATTATGTTTAAGTAGTTCATTTGTCTTCTTGTTAACCAAGTTATCCTTCTAATAGCAATTAAGTCATTTATGTCACAAAGAAGCAATTAATGAATCAGCTCAGAAAAAGAGCATTTCACACACACTGCTACATATTTAATGTTTTACGATTAATTTCCTTCTTTTTTCCAGAGAGGATGGACCCTGTCAGAAGTTCCATGCCCCTTATCCTGCAACTAAATGAATAGGGAAGCAGGCTGGCTAGCAATCCGGGTGACCTGGGCTGCCATCTGGTGGCAATTAGGCATATCATGATTAGGATGTTTACACAACAGCCACAATCTTTTGCCTCATTTTCCCCGAGTACCTAATATTCTTCAAGCTGTTTGTTTTCTAGCACTTATGCTTATTAGTGGGGATGTTCTCAGTTTTGGGTTAGATCAGTGATCCCAAAGCTACCCTTGCCTCATAGTCAATTCCTTCTCCTGATAGGCAAAGGTGGGTCTCGAGAGGCCTGGTCTCCCTGAAACATGGCTGAAGCACCACTTAGCTTGAAGTGGGGAAAGAGGCCCTCCCAGAAAAAATTACATCAGTAGGAAAAGATACCCTTTCTACTATAATTTTCCATTATTACTTCCATGTAAGGTCATGGGTTTACCACATTATATCATTCTTTTTCACCCAATAATGATTTAAATATCAAAGGGAAAAGTAATAAATCAATTTTACCTTCTTGTATGGGATTTGGCAAAAATTCATGAAGCAGATCTCCTAATGTTATCTTTCGACCATCGTCTGCTTGAGGCTTAATGAGTCTCTGCAGCGGTGGTTGGTAAACAGAGTGTAAACGAAAGGGAATATGCTTGAACCCCTCTTCTGGTATACACTCCATTAGCTTACGATTTATGGCCCAAAACTGGTCAAATTTATCTGAAACAAAAATGTTAACATTAATACAGTAGAAACTAAATATTGCTCACTCACATGAAGGCAATCGATTAAGGTATCCCTAGTCCCTTATTATAGGGATCTCACAATGCAAACAATATTATGATATAGTGCATAAATACAAATAAGTACTCTTCTTTTTTCTTTGTAAGCGAGACTAAAAGGGAATGATTCATACCCAGACTCTAGGTAAAACCTAATGGAGGCATGAATGGTAAGAATAAAACCCCATGTGGAATGCAGTACACATGAAACAAAAAGCCCTGAAAGGACCAAGAATGAAAAACAAGGACCACAAACTTTCAAGGCACCAGACCATGGAGAACGAGGAAATCAAGGGAGAATCATAGACCCAACCAGTCATATAAGCTGAAGGGACCACCTTGGCATGCCGGCTAGGACATGTAAACCACACTTCCCTCCTACCAGCAATAAACACTCCTTATCCGAGGAAAAATAGACTGTCAAAGACAACTGGCTTATCTGAAGGATGAGGGCCTACCCCAAGTAAGGAGACCTCCCATCCTCAGGGAGTGTATTCCAAACACCCCAGAAAAAGTTAGCGAAAAGAAAAAATTAAGAGAGGAGCTTCTAGGCTATGCCAGAGGGTTTAAATCCCCCAGAAACTGAGAGAAAAACCAGTGACAAAAACACTAGAAACAGAAATAGACGATTGGATAGATTATGTTGAAAATGCCCCAACCTTTCAAAACATGACTGATGATCAAATTATTGATTTATTTAGAAAAAATGTCAGGGGAGCAAAATCAGGATGAGGATGATGACAAGGAAGTGTTAAGGGAAAAAGGTAATATTGAAAAAGTTCATTAATGTTTTGAAGGCATTCTTGACTTTATGGAAACAAGCAACAGTGTGTTTGGTATTTGGAAGACAAGTATGTACAATATGTAAATGCAATTTTTGCAAACAAGAACAAAGCAAATGAAGCAAATTTAAATTAAAGACTTTTGCAAAGGCTTCCAAGAAACCTTACATTGAACCACCTGCTCCTGGCTCATCACATGATGACACAAACACTTCAGCGGCTGAGTTATTTCATCACCATTAATCTCAACTTCAGTCAACTCAACACCTTTAACATCCACCACCAATTCTTCCATGTAAATAACAATGCACCATCATGAATAATCTTTAAGTTAACAAGTGGATCAGAACTTCTCATATTGGTATGTTCAAACAAAATACTGAATAATTTTTGCCATAAAATTCTGAAAAATTTCCACAAGATTTTCAAGATGATAAACAACTTATCCTGAAACAACAAGTTATTTGTTTAACCTCTGTTCTGATGTGTCTTGAAAGCATGTGGTCATCTGTGTATGAAGTAAACATGTGCAAAATATGTCAAGAGCCAAGTCGGCATCCTTACCATTGCACAGGCCCATCCACAACTGTTTATGGTCTTTGCCCTGCATATTGGTGATGATTTGTCCTCTGTGTTTTAGACCATCAGCTTCCTTCAGAGTGGACATGAAGTGAGATTCCACCACCTCTCTGAAAAAAGTGCACCATTATCTGTAGCTCTTTTTGTTATGAACTCACTAATAGTAAAAAACCAGCGTTGAATATAATGAAACGCCATTTTCTGGGTAAGCCTCATAGGCTCCCTGGCTCCAGGGAGCCACGGGACTCCCCACAGAAATTAAGAAAAATACTAAAAACATTGCATTGTGTCACTGATAACTGAAAGATGAAGTAAGTACTAAATACAAAATGCAGTGCTATGATTGGATGGATAGTAACATACCACAAGTTAAAAAAATCTCTGAACTCAGATTTCTGGGAAGCAAGTTCATTCAGGTACTGGAAGCCTAAATGAGCCAGTGGTCGAAATAACCCAAGACCTGGATTAGATGCCTTAATGCCAAACTTTGAGAAGCACCATCATGGTAAGTTTGTTGAAGGACCAAAGAGGAAAATTTAATTTGAAGGAAAGATCCCTAAAGAGGAAACGTGTGACTTACACAAAACCACAAAAAGTTCCTGGACTCCATATGTATGAGAACGTGCTAATAGGCATCCTGGAGACAGATGATGAGCCATGTGCTCAGAGATAACAACTGTTGAACCAAAGACAGTGGTCATCCAAAAAGTCAAACAAGGAATAAGGACACCAAACTTCAAGTTGAGGATCATTCTCTTGATGGAGCCCTTCTTCACCACCGAGAAAGAACATGGTTGTGCCTGAATATATGCCCAACATAATAAAATTTGGTTTCTATTTAATCACCCGAGGTGATTAAATATTAATTGTTGTGGTGGGAGGAGCAAACACCCCAGGGTACTAACACAGAGTTAAGAGAGTATACTTTCCTGAATTTAAAGGTAGGAGGAGAGAAAGGTCAAGATGATGGAGACATGGTAAGAGAGGAAATGGAGATTTGGGAGTGAACTGTGCACAAGAAAAAGGAAGGAATAAGGCTACTGTACATGAAATCAGTTTTGATGATGACAATATTGATGATCCTAATTAAACAAAGTCTTATTTCAAATATACTTTCTCTTTAAATTTTGGCACCCAAACATTTATTAAATTGCAACACTGTATGGCAGCCTGTGTAATAAACAAAATACAACTTGAAAACTGCATTTTTAAAAACAGACAGACCTTGTTGGGCATCTGATGAGGTCATGATCAGGAAAGTGTGAGAAGTGAGCAGTGAGACACCATGGTAGTGATGAACCTCCACACTGAAGGTCAAACAGCACACCAACTGGATAGTGCCTGAGGAAAACAGTTTACATAACTAACATTGTAATTTCAAACTAGAATGTAATACCAGCTCCAAATCTGACTACACTTGTCCATATACTGGCTAAGTTTTGATATGCCATATATTTTCAGAACTAGCCTAATTTAATCTAATAATAACCTACCCAGTGCATACATGTTTATTATTATTATTATTATTATTCCTGCATTTTTATTGTATTTCTTCTTATTTTCATGCAAGTAGTTGTGAAATTTTTATAGTTGATTTAATATTTGAAGAGCTAAATACATGAGTACTGTATAATATATGAAAGCTGAGAAAGGTAGTTGTACTGGGTCTGCTATATCTCCCAGCAGGCTCCCTAAAGCTATCTTGCTAAGATAGCTGTCACTAATATGCACTCCATACTACATTCTGTGAACAATAAAACAAATAGTTTTTGCTGTTATTACACTGTAGTTACTCATTATATATAAATATCTACATTTTAGGCATCATAACAAAAAAATAAGCAATTCTAGTGGGTGTGGTAATCTTATCTTCAAAGTACAGCATAGCACCACACACTGGTTTCCAATATACTATGCATTGCTAACATTAGCCACAACACTACTATTTTTATCATTAAATTCTAAATACAAATAATATTCCACAAGCTCATTTTCTAAAGAAACATGCAGTCCAATTTCATGTGCATACACACCAAAGCACATCTGTGTGCTATGGATGTCTGCTGCATGATATCAACATTGTAACCAGCATTGGGTTCACTTATATTTGAACCTTGTACATAATTTGTATCAGTCAGAACCTTGTATGGCACTATTATCATTAAATAATCAGTTACTTATATGCTTTATCATTATTAAATGATGTGGTCAGCATAAGCTGCATGGTAGTGCTGTGAGCTGCTGCTGCATGCATTACTCATAGTTGCTCTCTCAATACTGCAGCCCCTAACACCCAGGAGGGATGCCTATGATTTTTTCCAAGATGGCATCAGTTTACTGGAGACCTGAGGAAGCAGATGCGAGCTCCGTGCACCTGCGGGAGTTTTAAATCTTACGCAGTATTTTAAAACATCCTTCATTGTTCCGCGCAGTGAAATCATGAGTAGTGAGAACATCTCTGATTGTCACATGCATTTGAAGGGTTAAGCAATGTTAATCACAAACTGGATAGCCCAAAAATCACCATAATCTTTTCGAACTAAAAATAATAAGACAAGGTACTGTAACAAGGTTCGAAAAATATAAAAAATACAAATTTCTTACTCGAGAGAGAGGCAGGGAAAGAGGGAGGCTCACCATTTTAGAGGTGTTCCATCACTTTCCAGCCACATTTCAGCATCCTGAAGCTCATGTGTTGTAAACCTTAAGAAATGCTTACGAACCTGAAAAATTACAAAGTCACATCAAGTTCAAAATAAAGAAAACTTGTATTTACTCTAAATTAGATCATCACATTCACCATGACAAAAAAAATACATACAGTATCAACAACTAAGAAGTGCAATCTATTGAAAATTGGTTTGAGTTTGTAAGCTAGTATCAGATAAGACTAATATTGTGCACAGTAAGTCAAAGTAACTAAAGAGCTAAGAATAAATAGAGCTTTGAGTGTAATGAAACACCCCCTTTCTGGACTCCACCTCGGCAGCTGTCCCTCAGATTATGCATAGGCTGCAACTGGCAAGATCTACCAACACCATGTATCTGTGAGCCATTCATTCCCTACTGAACTGAAATGCCCTTGAACGTTCCCTTGGTCCCTATGAGGAAGGAAAACGTATGGATATCATATCGAATCTGATATGTCCCAAAATATAAGAAAAGGAGGGCATAAGGCATCGACTTTCCTTGAGAAATGTTTTTGAGAGTACAGCACTACCAAAAGAAATCAATGAAAACTATAAACAACAATTCCAACAACTTTTCCTTCCACCACCAGGTGGCAGACAGGGTTGTACCAGGAGTAAGTGACAAAACCACCTCATTTCCGTGTCTGGAACCAGTTTATCAACGTGGTAAAGGTGTCTACAAAGAACAGTTTTCTGTCCATCTTGTATACACTTACAAGATGAAGCATAATTATGATACTATGATCACCAGCCCTAGAAACAACTTTAGCTCAATAATTAATCCTTACTTGCCAATTCAGTACAAGGAATAGTCAAGATATATTGTAATGTACACGAGGTTTTATTGGAAGAACTTGGTGTCGGGAAAGATGCTACGCCTGGTAGTGGCAAGTTATGGCAAGAGGGGATTGTCACTAGCGGCTCTAATAAATCAAGTGCGTTTAGCTAGGGCAAGCCACTTAAAATTACAGTCTACAGTACTATATACATGATCCCACCTGTCACTTACCTGTTTGCTATTTACATTTCTCATTTGTAGCATACATCTTTGCCCCATCAAACAGCTCATGTGTTTTGAAAGATTTTGCACCATTGTATCCTTAATTTTTTCAAGAAAAGTTGCCAAAAATGGAATGAATATGTTCTCCATCAAGTACTATATAGGTACAATATATTCTGTCAAGTAAATACTGTGCGAACAACAGAAATGCACTGGAATTAGAAAGTTTGGCTAAATTAGTTGGCATGAGTACAGCCACCATGAATTTAACAAATAATTATCTTTCTTATTTATATTCTATTGCAATTCTTACATGAAATGTGTAATTTATTAGTGTTAAAATTAAAATTGTATTGCAGTTAGAATATAGTTTAAACCCTAATTGTTGAATCGTATGTACTACTGTATTGTATATGAAATAAATAAAAATACCGGGTAGATATAAATGGGTCCCTCTCAAAGTTATAAAAGAATTATTCAATAAATCTTAAGGAACCCTTCTCTTTATTGATAATGAACATTCTACTGTATACACTATACAAAAAAGGGGCAATCTTTGTCTTTTTTAATGAAAGAATAAGGAAACAATGAATGTACCAAGACTACATAGATTATGAAATAGTATACAGTACAAATAAAGATAACAGTAATACCAACCTTATCCATCACTAGTGGTAGATACGATAACCTAGGAACCATTAAATAGTAAGGATCTGGAGCACTCAGTGTACTACAGTCTTCACTAGCCAACTGTACACACACTGGAACTCGACCATCCCAAACTTCACGTAAAATCTCCCGATCTTCTGCCATGTTTTTAAAGCTGTAGAAAACAAAACGGGTGAATACCAGTATAAATTGAAAATCAAGGTTACATTAACAGATTATGGTACAGTACATTACTATACAGTATAGAGTGTATTTCCATTCAAATGATTTCCCATTGTTTGAGACAGGAAGTCTGTTAACTGAGCCTATCGAGGTACTGTATCCTTATGCTAACAAATGATCTCTGGGATACAACCCACAATAATTGCATAACTTGCAGTTACCTACTAATTGCAAGGTAAACAGAGGCATCAAGTGTTAGGAAATATTTCTAAATGTCTCTGCATAGGAGTCGAAGCCAGAACATTCAGTTTTGAGCAGACTACATCCAATTTTATTCAGACACCTGTACAATCTTTTTTTGGTGAGCTTCCTTCAGTGGCTCCCTACCTGGAATCTTCCAAATCTTAGGTATCACAGTCTTCTCTAATGAATCACAAGCACCTATAGGAGACAGGAGACAGAATTTGTCACCCCTCAATAACAACATAAGGAAGTCTGGGGGATATATCACCACAGTACCATAAGAACTGAGATCAATGAAATTTGTTATACCCGAGACAAAATGAAATTCACACTAGTTACTCTTATCAATCATCATACTGTACTACTATGCAGGAAAATTCACATATCTATGAGTCATCCAATAAGGTCAGCAGACTTCTAGATACAGTACTGTATTACTATTGCTAAGCTCAGGCTCAGCTACAAGTACCTCTTGTTGTTTGCATTACCTGCTTAAATAGATCTGACAAAATGAATCATTTACATCTGACATGGCTAAATGAATCCTGGGATTCAGTTCCTGAGCCCATTTTGTGCCTATTTGATGAGTATAGAGGTGCATAATAAATGAATTAAACTACCCTACCAGTAACTCAACCCTGCCTAACCTACACTGTTTTAACAACTAGAAAGTGAGCCTTATAAAAACACGTAAGTCTGGTCTGACTGTACCCCATATCAATTTGGGCAGTTGAGGGATGTCTAAATGCAATAAATTGTATTGCTGTTGGTGGAGATTAGGGGAAGCTCCAGTTCAGCGTCCTATGTACCTGTCATATCCATGGCAAAGGAAAACTTGAAGCCCAAAGACTATACATTGATTGGTTTATGGTATACTATACCACAATGCCATGCAGGTTATATTTTCCTGTGACTTCAGGCAGAGCAAGAGTTAAGACACCCATTAAGCATTAAAATCTATAAGTAAAGGCATTATCATAACCCAACAGGCACAATTCTCAGAATACTTCCCGGTGACTCCTAGACAAACCAAGGGTGAGAAATCTACCCAACGTTGAGGTTTATACAACAAAAGGGACGAATATTTTATAAATCTCTGGTGTTTCCTCATTGTATACATGGAGACCATCTTCAAAAAGGCATATTTTCTTGAAGAAAGTTCAACACTGGGCGACAAAAAATAATTTTAAGGCAATGTCAACTCGTACCAGGCACGGTCGAGGGCCTCAGGGCTAACAAGACTGCAAACCAGACATGACGAGGCTCATCTCATCCACTCTTAAAATACTGAACAATATACAGAATATTGAACCAATCCACTTCTTTAAAAGGTCAGATATAACATAAACAAAGAACAACGGTTTTAAACTCAAAAAGCCGCAATGTGGGACACAAAATTCATTTTGTTTTCACCCATAGGGTTCTGAACCCATGGAACCGCCTACCCACCGAAGCTGAAAATTCCAAAATATTGCCGAAATTCAAAATCAAGCTCGATAAAATCATCAGGACAAATGCGGAAACCTCTGCCAGCCGCTGGTTTCGTGTCCTCGTCGAGGCCACTAGAGAGACAGGGGCCCTTGGGTAAATATAACAAACCTGCGCGAGATTGTAAATAATGGAACTAGGCATCAGCTGTTTACTTAAGGGATCACGCGTGGAAAACTATTGAGCTGCCTGCTAATCTAAAATTATTAAATTCATACACTGCACAGTACATTTAAATATGAAGTACAGTACATTTAAATATATATGATAGATAGATGTAGATAGATATAGATAGATACCTTCACGCTTGTTCACATTTGTGTTCAACATGCGAGGTGATTCGATGAAATATCTTTCCCCAAAATTGACCACCGAGTGCTGTCGGGGATTGGGTTAAAGGTCTGACGACTTCCAATTCATTTGATCAGTCAGTCCCGGTAGGGTCCCGGTAGTACAGTCGAGTTCGTTCTCGACACACAATCGATAATTCTGGTTTCGAATCCAGAAATAGCTGGGAACATTTTCTTTAATCTAATGCCTCTGTTCACCTAGCAGTGAGTAGATACTCATGAGTTAGTCAGCTTGTTGTGGGGTAGCATCCTGGGCGGGGGTCAGTAATTCGGCCTTGGGAGGGTTAGGTGGACTTTGATAAAAGCCAGAACGAGTATGAATACACTTCCGGTCCCCGACACAATGAATTAAATTATAATAATTAAAATATGTATAAGGAGCTTGGGGTTTGGATGGGTAAACATTTTGAGTCCAATTACAGCATCATTAAAGAGTCCTAGTAAAGCATTTCCATTATTTTCCATGGTTCGTTTTTCATATTACCCTTTATTTGACTTATTTTATATTCACAGTAATTTGTTTTAGTTTTATTTATTTATCTTAGAATGGCAGAATACCTCTTTAATATTTCTTTGGACTTGGAGGGTTGTAACTATTTAATTCGTCACTTAAGGATATTAGAAGATATACCTTCAAAGTCTATCAGAAGCTTGCTAGTGCAGGGTAGTAGACTTGCCTCCCATTCAATGTGTGATCAGCCATCTTGTCCCTGTGAGATTGGGATATTAGGTAAATTTATTAACTAGCTTGTCGTATATACTCTAACTTCTCATGTGGAAGAGAGCAGCAACATTTTAATGCTGTGTGCCTAAGCTTGTTAATAACAAAAATAACAATATTAGGAAAGAAAATATCTAGGGTTTTACTTTTCTATGCGTTACATATTCTTTTTGTTATATTTTGTTACATGTTTGTTATATTTTAAGCATTGAACTTTTTGAGGGTTTCACTCATTTAAATATTGCCGCCGGCCGCGGTTATAAAAGAAATATTTCCATTGGGTAACGCTGGAAGCTGCAGCCAATCATGGAGCTCCTCTCTTCCCTGTCTTTATTGTGGCAATGGCCGACAACCTCACTAAGAAGCCCAGGAAGGGCATACTCAAAAACTCATCTAGTTTTGAAGGCAACGAGAGACAGAGAGAGTAAGCAGGGAGGGTTTTAGGAGGCGAGAGTACTGTGAGGTGATGTGGAGGCGTGAGGAGGCCCTCGGTGGCACTGACAAGGGCCAGTTAGGTGTTGACACTTGTGGCCTCTGGTGGAGGCTGCCTCGTAGAACCTGTATGTGGTGAGCCCCAGTGTCTGGCCCGGACACTGTAGGCCTTTATCCGGGCACTGTAGGCCTCTATCCGGGCACTGTAGGCCTCTATCCGGGCACTGTAGGCCTCTATCCGGACACTGTAGGCTTCTATCTGGACACTGTAGGCCTCTATCCGGGCACTGTAGGCCTCTATCCGGGCACTGTAGGCCTCTATCCGGGCACTATAGACCTCTATCCGGGCACTATAGACCTCTATCCGGACACTATAGGCCTCTATCCAGTGCAGTTAATGTGACTAAAAGTGAACTTGTTGGTAATGTAGAGACGCTGGTGCATGGGTTTACACAGCCTAGGAGGCAGTGGTAGGCTGGGTCTGGGCAGTGAGGAAAGCTTAATTTAAGCATATTTGCTGAAATAATAGAGTACTTGTGCATATTGTTTATTCCAGCGTGGACAGATGGGCAGGGATATTGTTATAGATGGCCAATAACCTCGAGAGGGAACATGTGAACGTCATTTCAGTTTCCGAAGCAATGAGTAATAATATTATTACTTGTAATTTGTATTTGCCAAAAATATTGTTTGTTAGAAATGTTACTTGACTTTGTCATCCAAAACGTAAATTATTGGCATGTCGGTAAGGGTCCTGGCGCTATAGGCGGGTTCGTTCTCGACTCGATGGAGAATTTCAGGTCCAGATCCCGGCCGTGACAAAAATGGTTGGGAGTTTTTCCTATTTGCCTAATGACCTGTTCACCTAGCAGTAAATAGGTACACAGGGGTTATCTTGAGATTATTTCGGGGCTTTTTTTAGTGTCCCCGTGGCCCGGTCCTCGACCAGGCCTCCACCCCCAGGAAGCAGCCCGTGACAGCTGACTAACACCCAGGTACCTATTTTACTGCTAGGTAACAAGGGCATAGGGTGAAAAAAACTCTGCCCATTGTTTCTCGTCGGCGCCAGGGATCGAACCTGGGACCACAGGATCACAAGTCCAGCGTGCTGTCCGCTCGGCCGACCGGCTCCCCAAATCAATCGGGGGTTAATCAGATTATTGTGGGGTTCACATCCTGGAAGGGGGGCTGGACCTCTATATAAGCCTAACATGTATATATACACTGGCTGCCTGTCCCCAGACATTGAATTTGAAATAATTACAGTATAAATGAAAATATGTAAAACGGTTACAAATTAGGTTTTGCAAGTAAATTGAACTGGAATGTCATGAAAATGTAGATTTAAAAGGCTGATGCCATTGTTTTGTGGCACCTTGATATTTTTAATTAATTAAAAAACCTTAATCCCCACCATTTTTTGTATCAAGATAACTTTTGAGGTTACAACTGATCTGCTGGCATTCGGTAACTGCAATAGGGTTTGTTCATATTTTTAGTGGTTTAGTATTTTATTTTTTGCATGTTTGAAATTAAGAAAACGAAACTTATTTTATATTTCAAGAGCTTTTCTTTTAATTTTCACAGAAAGGGAACGAAATGGGACGAGATGAACATTCTAGCCACCCTCCATCCCAAAGACAAAGACTATGGACACATGAAAATTGAGGAGCCAAAGACACCATTTGCACAATATGTAGATGGCGATTCAGGAGATGAACATGATGGTATTGATGCTGATCTATTGGCTAAAAAGTAGGTATTTTTAACTATTGTTTCTTTGGCCTTTCAGATACGTTTAAAATGATAATCAAATATTTATAATAAGTATTGTAGAGTACTATCTACTGTATTCAGTACAGTATATCCAAAAGTAATGTTTACAACAAAAAATTTTTCTTACTCATTTAGGAACAGCAAGGATCATTTGTTACGCACCTATATTGCACAACTTATTTTTCTATATTAATCCATTATTCATTGCCAATTAAATTATCCGTCTCATTAGTATCTAAAATGAAGACAATACCATTGTAATCACCCTTTCATTCCTTCCTCCCTATCTAATTATGTAGAGTATAGTTAAATTACAGTGTGTTATATTTGTTTCAGGATTCAGCTAGGAGGAAATGAACTTCCAAAGGCATTAATTGAGCCAGAAGAGTCGGAAGAGAGTGAGGATGAGGACATTTCACCAGAGGAGAGAGGTAAGATATTTCTATATTGCTAAGAAATAGTAGTTTGCTTACTCTATTCACAAGAGAAGATAAATAGTGGATGATTTTTTTTCTCTAACTTGCATGTATTCACCACTTGGATGAAATAACCAATGCCTTGTTTCAAGGTTACTGGCAGGTTTGAGATGCACTTTATATCTATTCCCCTACCTACCAATTCTTGCTACTTCTCTACATCCTCATCCCTCCACTACCCTGTACTTGCCCTGTCTCCCTTCCCAATTTCTCCTAAACCCCTTTCTCATCCTTTCAACAATTTTGTTTGCCTTCTCTATCCCCCCTCTATTCTGCTTTCTCCATACCTACCTTTTTTCTTCTCACCAGGCAGAGGAAGATTACTACAAGACTGCCCTATTCCCCATGGGATGGACACTATCTGTACATTTGATTTAATACTAGGTTTATATTAACGTTCATTTGGTTTCAATTACAACATACAGTATAAACATTTTGAAATATCAAAAGAGTAACTTAAAACTTTTATTTCAGAAAAAAGAAAAATTTTTGAAATGAAAAGGAAACAACATTACAATGAGTTTTATGCTGTGAAACTTGCACGAAAGTTAATGCAAAATGACGATGTTGATGACGATGATGATGATGAACTAAAAGAGGAGGATGAGACCGAGAGTAAAGAAGAGAAAGACAGTAAAATGGAAGAAGTCGATGAGGATGGAAAGAAAACTTTGGCAAACCCCGGTGAAAACATGGCAATAGGTGAGGAGGAAGCATCAGGGGACTGAGGGTCTTTTCATAATGTATAAACCGAATTTGAGTAAAGAAAAATAAACTCCAGTTGTAGCACTTGCTAGCATATTGGACTTCCTATTGCCATAGTTGCCATTACACGTACACCCTGCTCATACTTGGCCCCGTTCCTTCAAAAGGGTAATGGCAGATCATCAACCATTTGGTATATCAATTGCAAACCATTTCATAAGTCATTGCAGTAACAGCTACCGGAGTTCCTGACATTGGAACAGTGAATCACAATAACAAACATGAAAATATATATTTATTATATGTAGTTGCAGTGATTTATGGCAACATGTTTCATTGACAGTCAGGGGTATATGGCTATAGCTCTGGTATTTCCTTCAGTATTTGGGTGTTAATTTGAATTAGGAGAGACAGAAAAGGTAATGTTTGGTCATGATTCTGAGGATATAGCTTCACATTCGGAAGCTCATATTTTAGATGTATTAGTATGGGATACTTGACAGCTCTCTTGGGACAGCTCTCTTGGGAAGCGTGATTGAAATCTTGATACATCTGAATACAGGTACTGTCAATGTGTCAAAAATGTAAACGGTACTGTAAAATTGTAACTTAGTTTATTTTTAAATAATCGAGCACTGATGATGTAGCCATCATATTGGTGATAGATATATAAATATACTGTGTATGTTTGTCTTGAAGATCTCATATTGTTAGTAATCAGACAGCTATTGATTTCAGAGAAAACTGTTATACAAAACTGACAACACTACAGCAACTAAATGGGTACATGACATTGCACTTTTATTAATATTGTATGTTTATCTTAAATATGAGGCAACTTGGTCCGTCGTTATTTAAATAATCTGTTGTCCTAATTGTTCATAAAATAATCTGACTATACATTAGAGATTTTTATTATTTTTGGAGCCTAAAAAAAGACTTAATTTTAAATATATGCCATAAGTCATGAATACAATAGAACTAGTTGATTAAATTGTTTGTGAATGATTTTAATCACAAACAATTTGTATGGTTGAGAGACGAATCCTAAATTCTAATGACTTGTGCCATAAACCTGCAATTAATGTCAGTTCCCTGCACACAATGGAATTTTACAGTTTGGATTTATTCAAGACCAGAGTATGTTTTGTCCAAACACAGACTAATATAAAATCAAAATGAAGTGTGTTTGTCTATAGACTGTGTGTAATAATTTTTAAGGCTCCTCACTTTCCAAATGGCTATTAATCACCTTTATATCCCAGTCTAGCACTAATACATTTATTTCACTTGCTACCAGTAGTGATTCTGAATTAAATATTTCATATCATAGCTGATTTTATTAAATAATTTTATATATGAAATAAACTTGATTGCTACATTTTTGTGGGATATTTAATTTATGAGAAGTTATATTGTTGAATCTTGGCTTATTTATTTTTTGTTAACGGATATTTTCTGTTTAATCAAGGATTGAAACTGCAGTTGCCGTACATGTATATCTATTAAGTATAAATGATTTTCATCCTTGGGCAGGAGATTACGGTGCAGAGAGATATGCAATAAAGTGTTAGCCAGTAATCTGTTGCTGTTAAATATTTAGACTAGGACAAATGTGTCATTGTTACCATTGGTAAATTTTTGTTTAAATAAAATAGTTACTAAAAAATGATGACAGCATCTGAAACCAAGAGTAATCTCTTTGCATTTGTGGTATTTACCACAATAGGGATGAATTATGCACTTTACACCTCTGGTGGTTATGGCATGAACCATGCTGTAAAGTATTGTTTAGTGACCCTTGCAAACAACATTAGCCAGAAACAGAGTATCGAGTATATTTGTTTTTCAGAATGTATCTGGAGTAATATAGGTCAGAATAGATTATCCTAAATATTAGAATATGAATGTGTACATATGTCACAATTAAAGGATTTGAACTATATCGGGGGAACATGAATGTGAGGAGTACCAAATTTTGTACTTTTGTTAACAATTACAATTTAGTGGGAACCATCCCAAATGTTCAGACTGTGATTACATTACATATATCCAGCAGTTGTAACAACATAGCAGTTAACATGTGTGCGTGTCAGTGTACCAGCTCATGTATATGGATGTATGCATATTCACATTTGTGTTCATGTGTGAATGCCAGTGCACATGCATGTACATGTATTACACATTCATAAGCATATAAATTAAAACAATTTTGACCTTTTAATCTAAAGACTCGTTAACCCTAGAATTATTGAGAAAGAAGAGAGTTCCCATGCCGTAAAAAATTTAGATAAACGGAGTAAAGAATATCGAGATATATTTAAAACAAATGTTAATAGTAGAGTTTGCATAATAAGTCATGATGATAAAAATATTTTAGTGATTTTTATGTACTTCACTGAGATGGGATAGTAACATTAAATCATGGAATATACAAGTATTTATCTTTCAAGATAATATAAAGACAATCCTTGAGGTAATTGTATGCCAGCATGGTGTACCAAATAGCAAAGTAGTAGAATTTTTATTTGAATGTTAAAATTGAGTGTAATTCACAGCTTGGTAAGTAATTCAATTCCCACTGAATTCTGATAGTCCCTGTAATGTTATTGAATAACACAAAAGGTGGTAATTACATACCTGTTTTGCAATATAAGAGAATGCCTCTAAAATTTATATGCTGATTAATTTATAAAATGAACTGGTGGTGGTGAGAGGATTACAAGTTAATTATGAGACATTATGTTCTTCGTTTTAAAAACAAATCTATTACATCTTTGTTGATGTAGCAAATACATTAATTTAAAAAGGCTTAATGGATGAGAAAGCATGCATATATATATATAAAAATTTAATTTAAATTTTATCAAGGCACATGGGTGGGTTGTTTTTGGAATTATTTATTTGGCATGACTTGCAAAGGAAGATAAATTACCATTACAAAATTTTCACCATTAACTTGTGAATATTCATTTAATATAAATGGCATATATAATTTTTGATTTTGACATATGCCAGAAATAATTTGAATATAAATAGGAGAAAATGGCAAATGGCCAAGTAAATTAAAAATGTGCATTGTATAAACATGCAGTGGACCAAAATTTGTCCAGTTCCCATCATGAAATGCTCAACATGCATATCACGGAATGGCGAGTGTTGATGACCTTTAAAAACGCAAAATTTTTAACTTAAAATATCAGCTGACTTAAAGGGTGGCAGTGATTCCAATTGTAAATGAATGGAAAAGTGTTGTTACTAATGGTGTTTACAAATGAACTAAATGTAATTTTTTACTTAAACATACAATATGATATTAAGGTTCAGATGAACTTATCAAAGAAGTGTGTATGAAAAATACTAGTTAAATTATTTGATAGTTTTGTTGCTAGTTAAATTATTAGATAATTTTGTTGACTTCAATTACACTTAGCAACATTGTGTAATGTATTTAACGCTTTTTGATACCATACTTCCTCGGGCAACTTTCCTTACGCCTTGCCTAAATTTTCTAGATTGCCCTTAAGCATTAAAAACGATTGAACCCTTTTTAAATATTTGTATAAAGGATTGTGTATGTTGATGCAGCTATCATATACATTAAAGCTGAAAAGTAACAAATTGCTTAGGTTAACAAATATTTTCTTTTAACTTCAGAAATGTAGTTGAATGCACTTGTAGCATTTTTGTTTTTGGTCTTTTCCAATTGTAAAATTTATCAATGGATCTTTCAAAATGGCATCAATTGGGTAACTGGAAATTTCATTTTATTTTTAGTCCTGAGAAAAGTACTGAACTGTACGTGTAAATTTTCGTACACTGAAAAAACCTTGTGAAAAGAATTGAGGACGGCATCCAACTAGCACATTAAAGTGAACAAGTAGATGACAAAGACAAAGGCCTAAGCACAGGAAAACAAATTGAAAGGAAACCAACTTTTCCCATCGAAAAAATCGATGGGAAAGCAGTATTTACTGCAAATGTTCTGTAAGGTTGAGGATATGTACCAGACTACCAAGTGGTGGTGGTGGGTGTAGCCTTGAGAATAAATCATCAATGAAAAAGCTCAGCCTCTTTACTTAACCTGCAGTAGCACTTCCAAAAGCAACCAAAATGCAGTTTCTTATTGATGGCTTTTCTTTTTTTCTTTTTATACTAAAGTCTACAAGCAAATTTTAGACTGCTACATAGTTTACACAGCATTGATTCTTAAGATGCTAAATTTAAGAAAAATATTCAACCTGCAATAAGGCCTTAAACTAATGATTAACATTGTTAAACAAAATTGTAATGGATGTTGAGTCATAAGTTAATATTTTAGGAAACTAGTTATATCAAAATTAAGATCAAATGGAAATTAAACATTGTAATTAATGTTTATGCTTTAGATTGTCCATGCAAGCTTGTCCTGTACATTAAAGTACAGTACATGCATGTACATAACTGTGTAAATACATGCATGGATGTGCATATGTATATTTACTTGTGTAAATGTTTTGTATGTTTCAATTGTTCACATGCTGAATTGTTTGAATGCACATCCTTTAAAGATAGAGGAAAAAGTGTGTATGCATCCATTTTCAACTTGTATTCTTTGTATATATCTTTTCCTGTGTATGATTGTTTACTTGAATGTGTCACAGTTATCGTAGCGAGTTTAGTCACAAATCAATAGAATGTCAGTGACAGCCCTGCATGTGGAATAGCAATGTTATTAAATACACTTTTCTAAGATGCAAATTTTTTTAAGTGTGATTTTTACTTGAAGCTGGTATGTCTTGATAAATATTATGAGGAAAATGGTAAGTTTTATCTGACATTACACACTATTTTGTAGCAAGACTTAATTTAAAGCCTTGTTTAAACTTTCTAGTCCAAGTCAAGTCACACTAGTGCTGTGTTGGTGCTGTTTGTACATGCAATTTTCATGTTGCTGAGCAGTATGTAAGATAACTTTTGAATAAATATTTTGGTAATAATTTTGCTACTTTTGAACTCCATGTGTTAAATGATTGAGTAGTCACCGAATTTTAGTTTTGTGGTTACTAGATGGAGATAATCGTTGTATTTTGCTTAATTATTTAGCAGAAAGTTAACTGGCTGACTTTGTTTACAATACACAAGTGGTTCACGATTTTCACGAGTAAGTACTTTTTATACCTAGCATCAACGTGTATAGGTGAATTTTAAGGTTGCGCGGATCTATCACATTCATGGCAGTGTGTCCGGCTTCCTCACCCCACGTGCTTGTGTTATACTATTTTTTCTTATAGGTGTGCAATATTACACATCCCAAGCATTCTAGGCTTCACTGTGTACTAATTTTATTTCTGGAAATTGAAGGGAGTGTTAATTATTAATGTTAAATAGATGGTTATCACACAAAAGAGTACAAAAATTAGTATTTTTTGAAGTTCTCTACAACAAAATTCGATTTTTCTCATATACTTGCTACCTCTAAATTTAAATTGTAAAACTTTCGGTAGGAATATGAAACCCCCGCTACAAATCAAGGGCTGCTTGTAACCATAACTCTGAGAAACTAAGGCATTATCTTGCATGCCATCTATGGTTTGTGTGTTTGGCCACATTCATACTAAACACCACTTGGTCGACTAGAGATCATGAAACAATACTGTATGGTCCTTCCACCAGTATGATATTGTACAATACTAATTTTTTCCCCTATTGCTTATTAATTTGTATTTATTCTTTATTAAGTAATTCCCACTACAATAGAAATAATATATAGCCCAAATTCACTAGAGTATTTAACCCATTGAAGATGCTCACACATTAGTATGATGACACATTAATTAAAACATTTCCCCTGTCCTTGTTGAGGCCTCCAGATGGTGGCTCTCGGGTATATTCAAGTACCATTAGAAAATTTTGCAACAAAAAATGCATGTATCAACAGTACCAAAAATTCTGGAATAAATGGAATCTTACTTTCAGCATAATTGAGCTCCCTTAACATGTAAAGTGTTCAAAAAGGACCATGCCTTGAAAAGGAAAAGAGAAAAACATTATTACTGTATTAATAAAATAAACTTAATAATAAAATTAAATATCACAATGTGTTTTATAATAAAATTGAATTTTTGAAAAAATATAAATATACTCCGGCAGATGATGATTAGAGTGAAGTACACTATTTTTTGTTCCTTAATAAAAAAATTACATTGAGGAATTGATATGAAAGCATTATTATACTTCAGTACTGAAACTATATATTACATTACAGAAAGAATTGTGAAACGATAACACATTCATTCCTTGCTGATAAAGACAACTGACAAGGGCCACAGTGTAATACTTGAGGGGTGCATTATTTAGGACATAAGTAAAAACTATAAAGTATAAGAAAAGTATTAAACAATCAGTCTAAATTTTCCCAAGAGAACCAGGTTGTGGGTTGAGAACCTTTGCCCTATAGTATTGCAACATTTTATGATGACATATCATGCCAAAAGCTTACCAAAGAAAAACCCATAAATTACCTCTAGAGTAGAGTATGTTATTAGTTAAACTGTTTCCTGCTGCTGGAGACAAGAAACTTGCTTAAGCTTATTGAGGTCCCACTATGCAATGTGCTATGCTATGCTATGCTATGTCCCACATCTACATTATTAAAGTTAATAATTACAACAAACCGATACACAAAATTGCACCAATCTTCTCTTCTGGATTGGCCCTCCAAGGTTCCAAGTTTACTGGCTCTGGTATCACAGAAACATCCATAAAACTACCAAGCCTCTGAATTTACAAAGGTCTACTGAGAACTAAGACCAGTATCAGGTGACACTCAGATGAGGGAAGCATGTGGATTCAAGAATGATTGAAGACTAAGTAAAACTGCCCAGAAAGTACAGGCAAAGCAAAACAATTTACAAATCCTGATTAAAAGAAAGAAAAGATGGAAACAAGGAAAGAAGGCATTTGGTTTGCCAAATGACAGCAAATGGGTCAGATGGCCAATTTCTGTTAAGGAAAGCTGGCCTGTTTGTCTTTGTTCTTGATTTCTGATGAACATTTCTGCTGCCTTTGTGAGGGGTTTTCACCCATGGCTGTTTCATATTTGTCAATAGATAAATAATGATATTTGTCAATGCCACTGCCCAGAAGGGCAATGGAGTATCAGGTTCCTTCTACCCTCTGAGAATTCATCTTACAGTAACGGATTTTGCAGTCTTCAACTAAGTGGGTGCTACAAGAGTCTTCTCTCCTCTCCCTTATGATTAGGATTTTGAGGCTGGCGACAAACTTGTGCAAATCACGACCTTCCCATTGTTTCCTCTACTGGGGCAGGGGTTCGTTCTGTTTATCTGACATCTACATTCTTTTATATACTATATGTGGATAAAAGAGACAGGCAATGTATCAGTGTGTGTATCTTTTTTTCCCATCAAGAATTAACATGTTCGGTTGTGTTTGTGAGTCAATGGTGGCTTCATCCCTTATAGAGAAACAAAGAATAAAGGCTAAAATCAGTGTAATTCATTAATTTCTGCAAATGCATTATTGTATGCTGCTTGTAATATACCTTAAGGGTGTGAATGATACCATGATTCATGGACTTTATCAACGATACAAAGATGCTGGTAAACAAACATTTGTATGTTGCTGATAAACCACAAGATATAAATCGATCAGATTTGTTAAATAAAGAAAAAACTCTGTTAAAATATTTATTAATTCATGACCCTCATTGCACGGAATGTTTTTTAAAGGCATGTTCATTAAAGGAGATTTGCCTATAGATGAATACATTCAAAGAGAATAGATAAACTAGTAATGGACAGAGAATTTAAACACTTTCGATTTCAGTTCGATTTCTGTGTGTAATATTAACACTTAGTTCGCGGCAACAGATATTGCGTCCACAAATAACTATGGATGTCCGGCAGACGCATTTTGTGACCAAAATTAAATATTTGTTAAAATTCCATTTATTGTTCAATTATTATGGGACTAATTTTACAATGTGCGCCTTTAGATTGTGAACAATTTGATACCAAAATGAACGATGTAACATGGAAATTGAGGTCAGAACACTGGAAAGAGTATACATATTTTAGTGTGGGTGCACTCTCCTGGGAAACGATAGGCCATGCAAATTGTTAAAACAAATTTTCAATTCAAGTATTTATTAATAAATTTTATGATTTATTATCTATAACATGGCATGTGGAATAATGTTTAAATATAACAAAGTTTCATCACTGAATGAATGATAAAATGAATACAACTCACACAATAAAATTCCTCCATTATCACAAAAAACTCACTTAGTCAATGATTCCCAATCAGTATCGGGAATACATAAATCTACTGCTGGATTTTTCTTGCTATTTGTTGCTGGCTTGGTGAAGTTCATTCTCTGTTTAACTGTCTTTTGGGTGCTTGGAATAAAATCACTGGCTTCTAAATTTTCCCGCACCAACAGACAGTTTAGCCGAGATTTCAGGTATTCCTAAAAATAAAAAAAAATAGATTACTGTAATGTAATTTTGAATAACCAGGTAAGGCCCATCTATCCTTTATGAATGGTATGTTAACATGGTCAACAGTGAAGTCACTGGATTTACCTAACTGATTAATAATGCACTGTACAATATATGCATCACTCAGTTACAGTTTTATCTACAGTATTTATTATATACTCAGTATCTCTGTTTTCCCAGAAAATGAGCTGAACCAAGCACAAAGAAGCCCTTAGTTATACTTGTCTGTATCCTCAGCTAAGAAAGAGAATTAAAAGCAAACAGATTTCACACTGCACTAAACTGATTTATCAAGTAAAGTCAGTATCAATTTTTTTCTCTAATATTATCACCCTCAAAATGCACCAACGACCAGTCATTCTCATGGTAACATGTTGTTTACCATATATCATGTCATCTCTATTCATAGGTCTTTCATTACTCTCACCTCCAGTGACCTCACACTACGTAACCTTCTCACATCATTTTCAGTTGCATTTATTCTCTCGATACTAATTATACATTACAAAATATCCATTTATACTGTTCTTATTTTATATTTTTGGCTTTATGTTTAAGTTTCATAGCCACAAATGAGAATTTAAATCAACTTTACTTCATGTAAACTTACTTCACACTCTAAATTCAACATTTTACCAAGGCCCTCTCTAAACTCTCTCCTACAGCTGACCTTATTAAACGTTACTCCAATATACAGTACAAACATTCATTCACAAGACAATGCCATATGACTACACTCACACTACAATGCCATGTGGCTACACACTAATTCGAAAATGGTGAACAGGATTCTTATCTACATTACACAAATGCAAATACCGTATGTACAATATTGCATTTAAAATGTGAAAGCTTACCTTAAATAAAAGTTTTCGTGATGTTAAGTGGTGAACTCTTAAGAAACGATCTATGGAGACAGAAAATACGAGAGGTTGCTTGGGATGAACCATGGCATCTCGTACAGCACCAGAAAATCCTTTATATACAAAGAGTGGATCTTCAGGTTTCTTCCCTCGTAGGTCAAACAGGCCTATTCGACCATGAGCAGTTCCTACCACAACTTGACTGAAAAAAAGTCATTCATCATTAGATATGTTGCCAAATATTATATGCTAAATATTATATTAACTTAATTATTTTGGACTGTACAAATGTATATCCTTTGTACCTTTTTTTATTGCATATTTGTATTTTTATTATGCAAAGACATTAGGCTTTGAGTAATATGATAAGCACCTTTCTTGGCACAACATTTCGATACTCCTGAGAGTAAGCTCTGCTGTATCCATTGGACAGTACACATGCAGTCATACAAGAAGACATTCTGCATTAGAACCACAGGGACTTTATCAAGCTATCCTTCAAGCATCATTAACAGTTGCGCTGAGGCTCTATTTTGTGGTGGGTACGCCTGTACTAATTCTAAAAAATTGCATCTCGGAAGCTCCACCTAGCCTTATGCACCGGAAATATTAAAACAGTAACTATTTGCCAGGCTCCGAGTGACTAACACCATGGAAACAATTACCCGGTATCTTTGTAAGTGGTTTTGTCCTAGCTATCAACGGAACTGGAGGTTCAGTGGAGAGCCTACTTCAATTTACACTTTACTAATCATTTGCTATGACACAGAAACCCTTCTAATAATTCAAAACTATCTCAAAGAAATCTTGTAAATTCAAAAGTCAATAAGAATTGCTCTAAATATATTGAAATTAACTATCTCTAAATAAATTAATCTCAAAATAAATTAATATGACTATGGTAACCCTCTCCCCCCAAAAATAAAAAAGTTTCATTCACTCAAGGAACCAATTTGCTAAAAAGTGTTGCCACGATTTTGCTATTTTATCTGCCATATGTTATTGCCCTTATTTTGTACAAAGTTTTCTGATGTGCTAAATTTATCAACCTTATTATTTATATATTATTTGGCACAAGCAGTACGTACCAAGATATCCAACCTGTGTTTATTAATATGATATGTGTATAAGGATATACTATTATGCACATGTCTCATATCTAATTCAGTGAAGAGCTTGATAATATTACAAATAGAGGTGTTATCTTTAGCCCCACTCACTTCCATAAACTGACTATACATATACTGACAATTTCCAGGTGAAGAGTTAAGGGCTAATAAAATACAAGACTGATTCAAGAGGGGTGGACCCTTGCCCACTGGTAATAAATCTTTATAAACTTAAGGTTACAACCTTTATTAAGAACAAGTAGAATTATACTGGGGCCAGCCAAAAACACCGTGTCAGATCCAGTTTTACTGGTGACCAGTTCTAAGGTTTCTAATATGAGCCCCATGTCACCTATTATATTCTTGTTTCAGTAACTCCCTCCAGGTGTCTTTTGGAAAAGAAAAGTTAGAAGACACAGCTCAATTGTCACTTTGCCCTAATGCATTTAAATATTTACTGTTCTGTTTATTTAAATATTAAACATTTACTGTACTGTTTGTAGCTAAATCAATATATGATTACAACTGTAATAAAGTACAGTACTCACATTTTGTGTGAGTACCTCCTCTCCTTGTTACATAATCACTCATGAGCAATTTTATATACACTTAAAGTATGTATATTATATACAGTACATATATAACAGTTCACCTGTTATTGGAGAGGACTGAATTGATGCAAGTAAGTGGAGACTCTTCCCATTCAAAACTAAGAGTTGGCCTCCTTTGTCTTTGTGGATCATACAGCCGCACCTATGTAGAAAAATATTATTAAATATTGTACTGAAATTGCCCAGTACAGTGTGATGCAAACTGCCACACATTCCCTGTGATAAAGAAGTAACAATACTGGGTTGAAAACTTATCTTCCCAAACTTCTCCCCACAAAAGGGTAGAGTTAACTTCAGATTTGAGGCCTGCATGTGCCCAGTTAAAGGACATATGAACAAAAAGTATAATAGTGAATGAACTAGATACGTTTAATTACAGCTGATCGTAGGAAGTGTCCCTGGTCAAAATGCTAGGCCTATCTTGTATTACAAATATTATGAATATTCTTAAGAATAAAAATAAAAAGTGACCCATCCCTTTCTGTAGATAAAAAAATATCTTAGAATAAGAGAATACACAAGGAGAGACAAGTGTGGTTAGAGTTGTGGTGTGTGAAATAGGTTAGGAAGGGAGTCGGTGGTGTGTGCATATGGTTGGTGGTAGAATGGGTGCCAGTCTGGTGGGTATGGTTACTGATGGTGTTGTATGTACATGTGGCTTTTAGTGAACTAAGGTGTGGGATTGATGTACTTATGACAAACTACTGAAAAAAAGAATATTAAGAAAATATGGTACAGAATGTCACATAATAGAAGGAAAACAATATAACTACTGTGAAATATATAATGAAAATGTAACCATAGAATACAGTACATATTAATACACAGTACTAAAAATACAAGAGTATGCTTCTCACACTTAATAATGCAAAACTAAAAGACAATGAGAAATATTTTCAGCATGAGTAAAATGATTTGATTTTTAACCAACACTAATCTGAAAACATAATACAGTAACGCCTCGATTAATGAATTTAATCCGTTCCGGCACCGAGCTCCTTATGTGGAAAACTCGTCTTATGAAACAACAACATAACTGTTGTCGGAGGTATTTGAGAACCAGTGGGAACACTCGCTAATCGAGCAAAAGCTCGTCAGTCAAGGCAAATTTTCTACTAGTGGCCTGCTCGTTACTTGAAATGCTTGTAACTGGAGCTGCTCGTTACTCGAGATTCCACTGTACACAACTTAAATAAGCGAATTGAATCAGCAGCCTTATGCCTCAGTACTGAAGTACGGTATACACAAAACTCACTCACTCCTTAATATAGCACAAAAATGTACACGGTAACAATACCTACTACATCACCACTTCCTTAAATTTATATTGTATAACCTTACATGCTTATGTCTAGAAGAAACTGCCACACTGTGCTGATCCTCTAGAAAGGCGATGCCAGACACCCAAACAGGAACTCGTAGCTGTAGCATGTCTGGTTTCACCTAGATAAGGTGCAAATATAAATAAATCTGCTGTTCACAATATATTCTACAGTACTGTATTACTAAAAAGAGTAAGATTTAATAAACTACAAGTAGAAGAAATTGAAAAGTTTACTTTGCATGGGAAGGCTATCACAATTACTGTCCATAAATTAATATAGTAATATATTGTAATGCATAGAAAAAAAACAGAAAAATAAATGTAAGTAGAGTTTAAGGAATTAAACTAGAAATGCAACAATAAATTAGTTATGTAATTTTCTGGTGTTACAAAGGAGTTAAGTAATTAATCCCTGAGAAGTACTTAAGAGATTCTAACACTTAGAATTCACTTCAGTTCACTTCTAACATACAGCTGTATGTTAGAAGTGAACGTTTTAGAAGTGCACCACGGAAAATGCATGGATGGAATATCAAGAGCCTATGAAGCAGAGAGAAAGTATATATATATGCTGTACAGTATTCTATGCTGTGACGGTAACGCGTTGGTGTTCGGCTGTTTAAGGCTAGGGGTATGGCCTCGTCACATAGTTATAAAAAAAATAGAAAAACTGGAACTTCGTCTGTGGTAAGGTAAGGAGAAGACACACAAAACACAAGTAAACTTTAACAATGAAATTTTAATTACGTTAAATAAATCAAAACATGAAAATAATGCACAAACAAATATGTATAATAAAATCAATGAATCAAAATAATAAGAATACTTAAATGACACAATGAAAGTTACGTTAAGGCAAAATAATAAGAAGTGCAACACAAAAGGTAAGTGGGAGGTGCTGGAATATTGGCTTAAAGCCACCACCTCTCTCAGTACACGCTAACGTCTAGCTGGGAGGAGTGCTGGCTACGAAAGCACGGAACATTCTGAAGACTGATGTTGGGGCGACCCCAGACATCGGGTAGTATTGGGGGGCGAGTGCAGGTGCAGCCAGACCGGCGACCAATCAGCGGAGCCGTAGCGATCAACGGGTAGTTTGGTGATTTGGGTCCGAACAGGTGGCGGGCTGCATACGTTTCTGCTCACCCTTGCAAGCCTTGCTGGTGCTGGTGTTGTTGTCGTTGTTGGACATTTCTTCCATAGTCTTTTTATATAATTGTGAAGACGTAATTTTGGAGGGAAGAGCAGGCTCAATCTCTTGAAGGAGATTATCGTCACAACTCTCCCCCGAAGCCTGCGGTTCTGGAAGAAGTACGTCGTTATGTGGTGGAGTAATGGATGGAGTCGCTTCTACTTCATAAACTCTGGAGAGATCATGGGCTAAGATGTTGTCAGACTCTTGGTATAGCGTGTCTCCAGGTTGAATTTCTGCAGTTAGCAAGCCCATAGTAGAAGACGTTGAGATGAGAAGTGGGCGTGCTGCAGGAGGTGTAGGGTGGTGTGGTCCGTATTGATGGTGGACCGAGCACTTTTCAGGTGTGGAGTGAAGTGCTGAAGCTTCAGGATGAGGAAGAGTAGCTCCTTGCCAATTGTTCCGTCGTTCCTTGTAGCAGTAGTCGCTGACAGGTGTATTCTTCTCGCCTCGTTGCTGCATCACGACACCACCATCGTCGGTACCATTGGCGTCGACATGGAGGATGTAGGGCTTATCTGACGAGGTGAGAGTGGAATTAGAAGAGGGCATAGGAGCACGAGTATTATCCTGAAAGCATTTGGGAAGATCATTAAGGATTTTGGAATTAGAAAGCGCCGACTCCTTGTCAGTGCTTTCGGGAGAAGAAGCTGGGAAGGTCTCACTGTGGATGTAGGGTTCTGTGAATGTGGAATAGTTAATCAAGAAAGTGGGAGGAGTACCATTATATTGCTTCAGGAGGTTGACGTGGCACAGCTGGGTCTTCCGCCGCCTATCAGGAGTCTCTATCACATAATTATTATTATTCCTGCACTCTTTGACGCAGTAGGGTCCTGAAAATCTGTTTTGTAAAGGTGAACCTGGGATAGGGAAATAAGCAAGGACGAAGTCTCCCGGCTTGAATTTTCTTACTTTGCTGGTCTGGTCGTAATGAGTCTTCATTCTCACCTGGGCTTTCAATAGATTATCATGAGCAAAGCGGTGGACTCTCTCTAGAATGTGTTGAAGGTTTTTAAGAAACTGGGGCACATTCTGATGCTCACTGAAGGTGGCATCTCTGAGAGAGTCTTTGAAAGCCTTAAGGGGAGTACGGCACTTACGGCCGTAGAGCATCTCATAAGGAGATACTCCTAGGGACTCATTGGGGAGACTTCTGAAAATACACATTATTAGGTCAATCTGCTTATCCCAATCCTTTGAGGTTTCACTACAAAACTTTTTCAAGAGTGCTTTGATGGTCTGATGACTACGTTCAAGAGAACCCTGTGAAGCAGGATGATAGGGGCTGGACAATACCTGTTTGATGTTGAACTCCTCCAGTGTCCTTTTGAAGAGATCACTGGTGAAGTTGGTGCCACAGTCACTTTGAATCTCCCTGGGAAATCCGTATTGAGTGAAGATCTTCAATAGATGTTTGATAACCGTAGCAGCCGTGATGTTCTTCACTGGAACTGCTATGGGAAATCTGGTGGTAGGACACAGGATGGTTAGGATGTAGGCGTTACCTGAACTGGTCCGAGGTAAAGGACCGACACAGTCTATTATGAGTCTGTGGAAAGGTTCCGCAGGCACCTGTATGGGAATCAGTGGTGCTCTGGGAATGGAGACGTTCGGTTTGCCTGCCATCTGACATGTATGACACTGTTTTACGTACTGTTTGACGTTATTTACCATACCTGGCCAGTAGTAGTCTTGGCGAATCCCATGGTAAGTCTTGTTGAAGCCGTAGTGGGAGAATGCTCCATGGGCCAGGTGTAGAATAGTGGGCCGCAGGCTGGTGGGAATCACAAGTTGTTCGGTGTTGGCCCAATCGTCCTCCTCCTTCAGTTTACTGGGTCTATATCTGCGGTAGAGCAAGTCGTTCTCTAGGAAGAACCCAGGAATACTGTCGGGTTGAGTCTCAGCCTGGAAAAACAATGGTGTTAAAGTAAGATCTTCCCTCTGCAACTTACGGAACTCCAACTTGGTCAGATGCGGGGGTAGTTTCTGAGGGTCTTGAGGGACAGCGGTAGCAGTAGAGTCAGCTGGCTGTGGACGTGCGGCTTGTGCACGGGTGGTCACGAGAACCGGAGGAGAAACTTCACTCTCTTGAACCTCTGCTGGAACATACTCAAGAATAGGGTTACTTGGCACAGAGTTACACACCTGGGGTTTGTCCATGACGATCAGGTTGGTTGGTTGCAGGTCTTCTGCCAAGTCGTTGCCTAGGAGAAGTTGCACTCCAGGCATGGGAAAAGGCTTTTCCCTGACGGCGACTTGGACTTCCCCGTTCACGTAGGGACAATCCAGGTGGACTCTGGCGAGAGGGTATGGAGTAGTAGCAGTGAGGTCAGTGATGAAGACCGTTTCCCCGGTGTAGACTATGTTGGGCACAGCCGACTTCAAGATGATCGATTGTAGAGCCGCTGTGTCCCTCAAGATCTTCAATTTGAAACGTCCCTCCGGATTTGAACCGTTGGCAGAGACAGTTCCAGTATACAGGTGGTTACTGAAAAGAGAAAGATCATTAACATCAACACCAACATTCATCACAGGCTTACCGGACTTAGGAGGAGTTGGTTTGGGTCGTTGTTGGTCAGTGGTTCCCTTGTATTGAGACTTACCACACTTGTCTATGGTATGTCCATAGAGTCTACAATACTTGCAGTACAGTTGTGAACCAGCTTGATCGGGGCTCACCTTCTCGTAACTGTACCACGACTTCTTACTGGAGGATGGTTCAGGTGTCAGCCGGTGGATGAGGCTGTAAGTGTCAGCCGACTTAGCACACTTCAGGTAGTCGGTTTCTTCTTTATCTGCTAAGTAGAGGCGGACAGGAGGCGGCACACGTCTCAAGAATTCTTCAACAAGCATCAGGTTCACGAGTTCTGTAAAAGTAGAGACATGTGCTGCTTCCAGCCATTTCATGAAATACCTCCGTTTCGTGTTAGCAAACTCGAGGAAGGTAGTGGTACTTGCCTTCAGGTGGTCACGGAATTTCCTTCTATAACTCTCAGTAGAGAGGAGGTAGGCGTCCAACACTGCTTGTTTCAGAGTGTAGTAGTCATTCTCAGACGCCAAAGTACTGAGTGTGACTGCAGCTCTACCTGTAAGATGGACTCTGAGAAGTGTGGCCCATTGGTCGACAGGCCAACTGAGTTGATTAGCAAGGGTTTCAAAGGTGGTAAAGAACACATCAACTTCTGCTTCTACAAAGGATGGCATTAACTTACTTGCATGTGATATATTAAAACTGACGGGAAGATTTGCAGTAGCTTGCTGGCGTTGAGTGAAGTGTGAAGTTTCCAGGGCGATTTCACGTTGACGACACTCTAGAGCCAGAGTTGCTTGTTGCTTGTCATGTTCGCGTTGCATCTCCAACTCGCGTCGTTTGGTTTCAAGCTGTACTCGTTCCCGCTCCTGGAGTGTTTCAAGCTGTACTCGTTCCCGCTCCTGGAGTAGTGCAACCTCACGTTCCTGGAGGGCGAGTCCACGTTCGTGTTCTTCTCTTCTCAAAGCAGCTTCACGTTCTCTGAGGGTGATTTCTCGTTCTTGTTCTTCTCTTCGTATGGCAGCAGCTCGTTCTTGTTGTTCGAGGGCTTCCCTTTGCTGCTCACGTTCAATCTTGGCCAGCTCTAGTTTAAGTTTCATCGTTGCCAAGTCAGTTTTATCTGCAATATAGTAAGTTTCATGAGTTTCAGAGTCTATCTTACCTTGCTCTAAATAGTAATCCAGCAACAGGTTGTGTAGATCATTTTTGTTGGCTTGGTAGGGAACTTCTAGTTGATACTCATGTGCAAGAGTTTGTAGTTCAGTCCTCTTGGCACGACTTAAAGTCCCTATTTCACCTGCTGGATTTGCACGGAAAGTTTGGAGACGAAACATGGTGAAATTAGCAAATAAAGGTACACGAATGTTCAATAATGAAATGTCAGAAACAGGACAACGTGGCAACTGGTACCTATCCTGTGTGATCTTTAACAATTAACGTTAAGTGAAAGATATTAAATGATTAAATTAAATCAAGGGCGCAGGAAATCTTGTACCCGGTACTCATGTAAGAGAATAAGGGCAAGAAAATCCTACTAACAAATGAAACAAAGTTTCGAAAACAAATGAAACAGTTAAATGCTTCAAAAGTAAAATTGGTAGTCCAAGGATGTAGGCATACCTTGCCAAGTCTCTATAGGACATAAAGCAAGTTTTTCCCACTGAATTTAATATGATACTTACAGAATTAGCGAACTTTTGTGCTCTGAAAAAATAAGCTAATTCCCTACCGTTGTATGTATCATCATCTCTGACTGACGTGTAGGGGTGCGAGGTGTCAACTGGTGACGAGAACTGCTGCTGAGGTCCCAATTCAGCAACTAAAGTTCGAGCTAGAGGAACTATGGCCCTCTTTGTCCTCCTACAGTCAGATTGCAGAAGATTGGGTACTCTTGACCCGGGGCAGACCACAGTACCAGGGTACCAATATGATGATCTGTCAGAATGAGAAATATTCAAGGGACATAGATGGTAAATACGAGTAATAACATGGAGGGAGAGATGACCAATTAAGAGTATGACTGAGGCCTACAGTCACCACGTAATCCAAAGTTGTCTCACCTTCACTATATGTTACTCTCGTAATGCACAATACACCGCACCTTATAAAAAATGAAATTGAATGAAAAATAGTAAAGCTACGTTAACAGAGTTAAATACGCTTACCATAAATTACCACTTGGCACCAGTACCTGAGTGAGGCTCCTAGGACAGGCCCCCATATAACTTGTGACGGTAACGCGTTGGTGTTCGGCTGTTTAAGGCTAGGGGTATGGCCTCGTCACATAGTTATAAAAAAAATAGAAAAACTGGAACTTCGTCTGTGGTAAGGTAAGGAGAAGACACACAAAACACAAGTAAACTTTAACAATGAAATTTTAATTACGTTAAATAAATCAAAACATGAAAATAATGCACAAACAAATATGTATAATAAAATCAATGAATCAAAATAATAAGAATACTTAAATGACACAATGAAAGTTACGTTAAGGCAAAATAATAAGAAGTGCAACACAAAAGGTAAGTGGGAGGTGCTGGAATATTGGCTTAAAGCCACCACCTCTCTCAGTACACGCTAACGTCTAGCTGGGAGGAGTGCTGGCTACGAAAGCACGGAACATTCTGAAGACTGATGTTGGGGCGACCCCAGACATCGGGTAGTATTGGGGGGCGAGTGCAGGTGCAGCCAGACCGGCGACCAATCAGCGGAGCCGTAGCGATCAACGGGTAGTTTGGTGATTTGGGTCCGAACAGGTGGCGGGCTGCATACGTTTCTGCTCACCCTTGCAAGCCTTGCTGGTGCTGGTGTTGTTGTCGTTGTTGGACATTTCTTCCATAGTCTTTTTATATAATTGTGAAGACGTAATTTTGGAGGGAAGAGCAGGCTCAATCTCTTGAAGGAGATTATCGTCACAATGCCCTGATGGTGCATTTGATCACTAATATTTACTAGATTTATAATTTGAATATGATGTACTGTATATGTGTTTGTCAGTGAACTTTATTATATACAATTGAAAGGTTCTAATCACCTTACACAAATTTAAAGACTAAATTTAATTGTCTTTATATTTTTAATTTTTAATTTTTTTAATGTTTAAAGTTTAAAAACTATAATGGTTAATAGTAAAACTGGAATAAGGAACGTAATCTTATAAACACTAAAAATATTTTTTAATAAATTCCAAAGCATTTGAGAGGGAGGAGGGTGTTTAAAAATCAAGTGATTCTTAAATCAAGTGTTCAAGAATTAAATTTGTAAAAGGATATATACAAATTATCAGAGAAGTTTTGAAGTTTTGAAACTAGAAATAAGAACTAGAAGTCATTTTCAAACTACAAAAGAAAAGGGGCAGAATGAATAATAATAGTACTTTTTACCAGAACAGTTTGAATGGTTGGAATAAAACTTCAGGAGGTTGTCTGCTAAAACTACTGGATGTTCTAGAAATATTTACAATAAATGAACAAGAAAATTTAAACATCAAAGGTACAGGTCTCTAATTGCAACTATAAATAGGTAACTCATATTGTACAGGGTAATTAATAGTATAGACAGTGACAGACTATTTAAAATTAAAGGGACACAGTTGGAAACTAGGTACAAAGCTACAGCGATGTCATAAAGAACCTTTTAGGTACTGTACCAGAATTGTACAAAATATCAAACAAATTAGGAAGTAAAAGAGGATGCAGACTGCATGAACAGATATAATGCAGATATGACAGAACCAAAAGGGCAGGGCCCAAAGGCAGAGGCCCAGCCCCTGCAAGCACATCTAGGTCAGCACAAAGGGGTCAAATGTACCAAACTAAAGACAGCTAAAAGATTGGGGGGAGGGGGGGGGGGCAGAAACTAAACTTCATTCCCAACAAACACAAAATAGATAAGAACATTGAAAAATGGAAAGAGACAAGAAGTGGAGAAATGTATGAAGTAAATGACACGTTACATACATTTTTTGCTTTAAATATAGGTTCTTCTGGGTGCTCCAAATCCCACACCTGAAGGTCATTCTCCTTCCCTCCAGTAGCTATCATATTTTGTGATGCTGGATTCTGTCTCATACATGTTAAGAATTCTCCACTAGTTAGTGCATTGATCTCCACTGGCTCTTCACGCCACAGCGTCACTTGACCTGACCTCACGGCAGTAATAGTTATGCTGAAAAGTAAACATAAGCAGTAAATAAACAAGTTAAAAAATGTGATGGACAAAATCTTCTGAAATGACATTACAGTGCCAATGGTAAATATGACCCATATTGAAATCTGGAGTAATTAGCAATAATTATTTTTTTATTTCACCAATGACTTGTACTGAGTAAAGCACAATAGCACAAACTGGATTTATGTTTATTTTAAAAATCCTACACTTTAATCAAATTCTCATGCTTAGGGCACTAAATTTCATCATCTATACCTCTCTGATATTAAAAGATATTTTATCTACAGCTATTTATTTTATGTTTTCTTCTTACATATTGTATTTGCAAGTGCTCACAAAGCTACATAAATTAATGCCCAGCCTAGGTCAAGGACACATATAGCCCATGCTGGGCACCTGGAAGCAACCCCCCCCCCTTCCCACTTCTACCAAGAGGAAAGTGGGAACAGCAAGCTGATGCCAAGGAAGGTACCCTTATAATAAAGTCAGGGCAAACTAATCAGCTAAGAGCACACAAGCTGGGAAGTATAAATACAATTGTGAAGTACAATGAAAAAATTATAATACTAAGCATGGCTTTCCTTGGAACAACAAAGTCTCAAGGAACACTAATCCCACTTAGCTCAATAAGAAAACATTGTCAATCCTTACACAGCAGATTACTGTATTGATGTATTTTGTACTACAGTATAATATTAGTTCTATGGGTGCATGTTACTTACCCATCAACTCTTGCTAGAGACACAATAGGGCCCTCACCCACGCTAATTCTCCGTGAAGATACAAATGCCTTTGCATCTGTGTCAAATATACGTATAGTCTGATTTCGTAGACCCATCAAAACCTGAAAAATTAATTTAAAATTAAAATTTAACCACCATGCTATGCAGAGCGCCTTGAGGTGCTCTGAGAGTTGTGCTATTTTTTTTTTATAATTAGGCTATATTTTAATGCTTTTAATGTTTTCATCACTTTTGAAATGAAAATGGTTGAATTTGGAAACATTTTAACATTAACTTTACCTGAACATTTATAAAACAACAAAAATACATCTTTAACAATTGCACTATGAAGTTTTTGCCAAAACCAGGTGCGCAGTGCAGTGGTTAAGAGTGATGCCTGTCTGAGACACATGTGGAGGTTCACAAGGGTTCCTATGTTACCATGACACATGACATTGCATACGTATTTGATTTATGGCTGACCCCAATCCGGTCATACTGGGCACATATTCAATGTCAATTACAAACTGAGAAAACTGTGTGAGGCTAACCCAATTAGACTATTTCCACTAACCAAACTTTTATTTTGTTTTTGTAATTTGAGTTAAAAGTTACATAGAAATTTTATCAAACCACACCAAAACTAACTAACCTATCCTAAACCTTACCTAACTTAACATAACTAAGTCAGTAAATCATATTCTTAACGCCTAGTAAGCACGGCCTGATTTGCTTATCAAGCAGAAATTTTTTTGGCATTCTTTTAATATTTCTTAATTGGTTTACTTCTAACAATACTAAAATATTACATTAGGAACATGAATTACTGTATTGACTTAGCTATGTTAGTCATGGCTGGCCAAACTTCTAAATGTTGGACTTGACTAAAAGAAGTCCCAATTGCATACAACAACAAAAATCAGCATTGAATGTAATGAAACTCCATTTTCTGGGTGAGACCTGGAGGCTTCCCCAGAAAACTTTATAATTCCAAAGAGAAAATTATATAAAAATTTAATATTTCTGGAAAATTCAGTTTGTTAGGCAACTCTGGGTATTAGAAGTTCCTTCTACTGCGTAGATGCCTGCGTTCTCTTATAATTTTGAAGCCAGCATAAATATACTGAATCTACAATAATATGAATACCCGCAATTCCCAATTTACAAACAAATCTCTCTACTGCTCCAGTGATTTGCTCACCACCACCAAGTGCTGTATGAATCACTTTACAGTATTAAAATTGCTATTTCACCTGATATATTACATTTGCTTTAGGACAATGTTAATAAATACTACTAATCACTTACCTCTGTTTGTTCCTCATCTCCCCATGCCATGGATGTGATCTCTTGCTCACGATCCAAAGCCTTCATATTGTGCAAATTCTTGTGGATAACAGCTTTTTTATTTAGATTTATGCCTGTGGAGAGAGGATAGACCAATTAGCTCTAATACACTTTGTGTATTTAAATAGTGATACACAAGGTGAGGACCGTGTGTATTCATGCCTTACATGAAGATGTTCCAGTGGAATGAAACAAAAAATAAACTCTTCAATAATCACTAGTTTCTTAATGAATTTCGATAACTCGACTACTCTTCTTAATACTGAGAGTAAGAAAATATTTAGCATAGAAAGCTTATCAGAGCCTTGAACCGTAAACCACAAAAGCAGCAGTCCACGGGTCTACCTACTGTGCAACCAGCACCTACAATAAAGAAGAATGCCAGAGACATCTACCAGCTGTCCAACTAGAACTTTAAGGCCTTCTTTGGGGTGCTACTATGGCAAGAAGGTGTTGGGTGATCCACATCCTAGTCATATATATTACTATTATCCATTATAACGTGGATCACCGAATATCTTAATATTACAGCCTATATAGCCATACAATAGTTTTTTTTTAAATATACTGCACTTGCCTTTCAATATTCCTGTTTCTGTGCCAACATAGACATTAAAATCTTTTTCGGGGTCATCCATTTTAAATTTTAAGATGCTGTAGAGTTAATTTTCTTTTATATAAGACGTGCAATGTGGCGATAGGTTTTTCCTCCAGCGACTTCGTCCAGCACGACACCAGGGTCCGAGATCTGTAAACATGTGGGTCGACGTTTTAATAATGAATCCACTGGCAACGGATTAACACAAACAAATGCACGTTCGTCTAAAAGAGCAACAAGTGTTATTCTTTTAGTATAAAAATTTTTGTGATCCTTTTAATGTGTCTAATTAGGGTGCGTATTTTAAGGGAAAAAGACAATAATAATTAGTTTACATGATGGAGAAACAGGCTAGGATAACTAGAAAAAACTCTGAAGTGGGTAAAGGCAGAAAGCAGAGTAACAATAAGCAATTTAACCGGAGCCCGACCAGTTGTGTAACCAAAGCTTGACCAGTTGTGTAACCAGACCCCGACCAGTTGTGCAACCGTAAGCCTAGCAAGTATACATCTCATCCAACCCTCACAAAGCTAAACAGTCCCAAAGCACAACCAAACTCCATTACTAGCTTGACCAAACAAAAATCTCCTTAGCGCTACCTAAAACCCTCCACTAGCCCTAGAAACCAACTAATGGAGCCATAGCAAACAATTGAGCAAACAATTATATACAAAAAAAGAAACCCGAATTTCTAGCAAACATATAAACATAGAGCCCTAGCAAACAAACCTGGAGCACTAGTACACAAACAACCACTGGAGCACAACCATGTACGAACCGGAGCACAACCATGTACGAACTGGAGCACAACCATGCACAACCCAAAGCCCAACAAGTCACACCCCTGGAGTTCTGTAATAGGAACCCGACAAGTTGAGTAACCGGCGCCCGACCAGTTGTCCAACCACAAGCCTAGCTTGAACGAACCAAACAAACAACCTCTGGATCACAACCATGCACGAACCGAAGTCCGACCATGCACAACCCATAGCCGAAGTGACACCCCCGGAGCCCGACCAGTTATTTAACCGGAGCCCGACCAGTTATTTCATTAACCGGAGCCCGACCAGTTATTTAACCGGAGCCCGACCAGTTGTGTAACCGAAGCTTGACCAGTTGTGTAACCGGACCCCGGCCAGTTGTGTAACCTTAAGCCTAGCAAGTATACATCTCATCCAACCCACCAAACTAAACAGTCCCAGAGCACAACCAAACTCCATTCCTAGCTTGACCAAACAAAAATCCCCTTAGCCCTACCAAAAACCCTCCACTTGCCCTAGCCACCAACTATTGACCCATAGCAAACAACTGAACTATATACAAAAAAAGAAACTTAGATTTCTAGCAAACATATAAACAGAGCCTTAGCAAACAAACCTGGAGCACTAGTACACAAACAACCGCTGAAGCACAACCATGTACGAACCGAAGTCCGACCATGCACAACCCATAGCCGAAGTGACACCCCCGGAGCCCGACCAGTTATTTAACCGGAGCCCGACCAGTTATTTCATTAACCGGAGCCCGACCAGTTATTTAACCGGAGCCCGACCAGTTGTGTAACCGAAGCTTGACCAGTTGTGTAACCGGACCCCGACCAGTTGTGTAACCTTAAGCCTAGCAAGTATACATCTCATCCAACCCCCACAAAGCTAAACAGTCCCAGAGCACAACCAAACTCCATTCCTAGCTTGACCAAACAAAAATCCCCTTAGCCCTACCTAAAACCCTCCACTTGCCCTATTAACCAACTAAGGAGCTATTGCAAACAACTGAACTATATACAAAAAAAGAAACCCGAATTTCTAGCAAACATATAAACACAGAGCCCTAGCAAACAAACCTGGAGCACTAGTACACAAACAACCACTGGAGCACAACCATGTACGAACCGGAGCACAACCATGTACGAACTGGAGCACAACCATGCACAACCCAAAGCCCAACAAGTCACACCCCTGGAGTTCTGTAATAGGAACCCGACAAGTTGAGTAACCGGCGCCCGACCAGTTGTCCAACCACAAGCCTAGCTTGAACGAACCAAACAAACAACCTCTGGATCACAACCATGCACGAACCGAAGTCCGACCATGCACAACCCATAGCCGAAGTGACACCCCCGGAGCCCGACCAGTTATTTAACCGGAGCCCGACCAGTTATTTCATTAACCGGAGCCCGACCAGTTATTTAACCGGAGCCCGACCAGTTGTGTAACCGAAGCTTGACCAGTTGTGTAACCGGACCCCGGCCAGTTGTGTAACCTTAAGCCTAGCAAGTATACATCTCATCCAACCCCCACCAAACTAAACAGTCCCAGAGCACAACCAAACTCCATTCCTAGCTTGACCAAACAAAAATCCCCTTAGCCCTACCAAAAACCCTCCACTTGCCCTAGACACCAACTATTGACCCATAGCAAACAACTGAACTATATACAAAAAAGCACTAGTACACAAACAACCACTGAAACTTAGATTTCTAGCAAACATATAAACAGAGCCTTAGCAAACAAACCTGGAGCACTAGTACACAAACAACCCCTGAAGCACAACCATGCACGAACCGAAGTCCGACCATGCACAACCCATAGCCGAAGTGACACCCCCGGAGCCCGACCAGTTATTTAACCGGAGCCCGACCAGTTATTTCATTAACCGGAGCCCGACCAGTTATTTAACCGGAGCCCGACCAGTTGTGTAACCGAAGCTTGACCAGTTGTGTAACCGGACCCCGACCAGTTGTGTAACCTTAAGCCTAGCAAGTATACATCTCATCCAACCCCCACCAAACTAAACAGTCCCAGAGCACAACCAAACTCCATTCCTAGCTTGACCAAACAAAAATCCCCTTAGCCCTACCTAAAACCCTCCACTTGCCCTATAAACCAACTAAGGAGCTATTGCAAACAACTGAACTATATACAAAAAAAGAAACCCGAATTTCTAGCAAACATATAAACACAGAGCCCTAGCAAACAAACCTGGAGCACTAGTACACAAACAACCACTGGAGCCTGGAGCACAACCATAGTACACAAACAACCCCACTGGAGCACAACCATGTACGAACCGGAGCACAACCATGTACGAACTGGAGCACAACCATGCACAACCAAAGCCCAACAAGTCACACCCCTGGAGTTCTGTAATAGGAACCCGACAAGTTGAGTAACCGGCGCCCGACCAGTTGTCCAACCACAAGCCTAGCTTGAACGAACCAAACAAACAACCTCTGGATCACAACCATGCACGAACCGAAGTCCGACCATGCACAACCCATAGCCGAAGTGACACCCCCGGAGCCCGACCAGTTATTTAACCGGAGCCCGACCAGTTATTTCATTAACCGGAGCCCGACCAGTTATTTAACCGGAGCCCGACCAGTTGTGTAACCGAAGCTTGACCAGTTGTGTAACCGGACCCCGACCAGTTGTGTAACCTTAAGCCTAGCAAGTATACATCTCATCCAACCCCCCACCAAACTAAACAGTCCCAGAGCACAACCAAACTCCATTCCTAGCTTGACCAAACAAAAATCCCCTTAGCCCTCCAAAAACCCTCCACTTGCCACCAACTATTGACCCATAGCAAACAACTGAACTATATACAAAAAAAGAAACTTAGATTTCTAGCAAACATATAAACAGAGCCTTAGCAAACAAACCTGGAGCACTAGTACACAAACAACCGCTGAAGCACAACCATGTACGAACCGGAGCACAACCATGTACGAACTGGAGCACAACCATGCACAACCCAAAGCCCAACAAGTCACACCCCTGGAGTTTTGTAATAGGAACCCGACAAGTTGAGTAACCGGCGCCCGACCAGTTGTCCAACCACAAGCCTAGCTTGAACGAACCAAACAAACAACCTCTGGATCACAACCATGCACGAACCGAAGTCCGACCATGCACAACCCATAGCCGAAGTGACACCCCCGGAGCCCGACCAGTTATTTAACCGGAGCCCGACCAGTTATTTCATTAACCGGAGCCCGACCAGTTATTTAACCGGAGCCCGACCAGTTGTGTAACCGAAGCTTGACCAGTTGTGTAACCGGACCCAGACCAGTTGTGTAACCTTAAGCCTAGCAAGTATATATCTCATCCAACCCCCACCAAGCTAAACAGTCCCAGAGCACAACCAAACTCCATTCCTAGCTTGACCAAACAAAAATCCCCTTAGCCCTACCTAAAACCCTCCACTTGCCCTATAAACCAACTAAGGAGCTATTGCAAACAACTGAACTATATACAAAAAAAGAAACCCGAATTTCTAGCAAACATATAAACACAGAGCCCTAGCAAACAAACCTGGAGCACTAGTACACAAACAACCACTGGAGCACAACCATGTACGAACCGGAGCACAACCATGTACGAACAGGAGCACAACCATGCACAACCCAAAGCCCAACAAGTCACACCCCTGGAGTTCTGTAATAGGAACCCGACAAGTTGAGTAACCGGCGCCCGACCAGTTGTCCAACCACAAGCCTAGCTTGAACGAACCAAACAAACAACCTCTGGATCACAACCATGCACGAACCGAAGTCCGACCATGCACAACCCATAGCCGAAGTGACACCCCCGGAGCCCGACCAGTTATTTAACCGGAGCCCGACCAGTTATTTCATTAACCGGAGCCCGACCAGTTATTTAACCGGAGCCCGACCAGTTGTGTAACCGAAGCTTGACCAGTTGTGTAACCGGACCCCGACCAGTTGTGTAACCTTAAGCCTAGCAAGTATACATCTCATCCAACCCCCACCAAACTAAACAGTCCCAGAGCACAACCAAACTCCATTCCTAGCTTGACCAAACAAAAATCCCCTTAGCCCTACCAAAAACCCTCCACTTGCCCTAGACACCAACTATTGACCCATAGCAAACAACTGAACTATATACAAAAAAAGAAACTTAGATTTCTAGCAAACATATAAACAGAGCCTTAGCAAACAAACCTGGAGCACTAGTACACAAACAACCGCTGAAGCACAACCATGCACGAACCGAAGTCCGACCATGCACAACCCATAGCCGAAGTGACACCCCCGGAGCCCGACCAGTTATTTAACCGGAGCCCGACCAGTTATTTCATTAACCGGAGCCCGACCAGTTATTTAACCGGAGCCCGACCAGTTGTGTAACCGAAGCTTGACCAGTTGTGTAACCGGACCCAGACCAGTTGTGTAACCTTAAGCCTAGGAAGTATATATCTCATCCAACCCCCACCAAGCTAAACAGTCCCAGAGCACAACCAAACTAGCTTGACCAAACAAAAATCCCCTTAGCCCTACCTAAAACCCTCCACTTGCCCTATAAACCAACTAAGGAGCTATTGCAAACAACTGAACTATATACAAAAAAGAAACTTAGATTTCTAGCAAACATATAAACAGAGCCTTAGCAAATAAACCTGGAGGACTAGTACACAAACAACGACTGGAGCACAACCATGTACGAACCAGAGCACAACCATGTACGAACTGGAGCACAACCGTGCACAACCCAAAGCCCAACAAGTCACACCCCTGGAGTTCTGTAATCGGAACCCGACAAGTTGAGTAACCGGCGCCTGACCAGTTGTCCAACCACAAGCCTAGCTTGAACGAACCTAATAAACAACCTCTGGATCACAACCATGCACGAACCGAAGTCCGACCATGCACAACCCATAGCCAAAGTGACACCCTCGGAGCCCGAGCAGTTATTTAACCGGAGCCCGACCAGTTGTTTATCCAGAGCCCGACCAGTTATGGAACAGGACCCGGATCATTTGTGTAACTACACGCCTAGGTCTACTTAGACTGTAGCTGGTGCGCCCCCACATGAATTATTGCATCCAGGCATGGAGACCATCTTCAGAAAGACACAGCTACTCTGGAGTCATGTCTTTCCAGAGCTATGGAGCCATGTCTTACGACAAAAATCATACCAGAGCTAAGTCATCTCTCGTATCAGGAACGGTTGAGGGCCACAGGGCTAACACCACAAACATTCTGGAGGATGTCGATCAGGCAAATGTCTTCAAAAGGTCAGATGTTACACGAACAAGGAGCAACGTGTTCAACTCAACTTGGTTTTTCACCCTTAGGGTTGTAAACCCATGGAACCGCCTACCCGCCGAAGCTGTAAACGCCAAACCTCTGCTGGGTTTTAAAACACAGCTGGAAAAGATCATCAGGACAAATGGGGGGGGGGACCTTTGACAAGCCTCCGGCTCGTCAAAGGTATGCAGGACAAACATATCAATTGTGACACCAGCTCTCCACATATGTCAGTTGCTTGATTTAGAAACTGTACTTGTGGTCGATCTCGAACCCTCTCCCCAAGTAAAACAGAAACAAGGAACACTTAGTAGGCCAGCCAGAGGCTTAGGACCCGCGCAGGAATATAGCTAAAAAAAAAAAAAAAAATCTCGAACCCATTTATGATGTGACGATTTTTACTAAATTTTGTAACTTGCTAATGAATTGTAGTTAAATGAATTGTGGGGTTCAGTCCCTGAGCCCATTATGTGTGCCTCTGTAACCCTTAATTTCCACTACAAGATGGGTATGGGGTGCATAATAAATGAACTAAACTAAACTATTGCAGTATTTGTACATTGGCCTGTCGCTTGTCACTAAACTTAGTTGTTAACTATTATCTCTATGAAATAATATTACCTTATACGCGAGAATAATTCTGAATACACAGCGATAAAATTGATGGACGCGGCTTTGGGTCGGGCGCGCATGAAAGTCGATAATAAATGCGTCTTGGGATGTGGGGGAGACGACCGCCGCGTTAACGAGCCTAGCCTGACGACGGGGTAGTTTAACAATGGGGAATTAAATGTATTCTACATAATATCCTACCCATATAATGTTGGCAAATCATGATCCTCAAAATCTTCCACAATATCCGAGAGAGGACCGACTATTTAGCATTAGTGGAATACAAACATTTGAATACTACAGAACCCGGATGAAAAAAAAAAATACGGAAACTGACTCTCGGAGACATTACAAAACTCAATGTTACAATAGCGAACAAATGAATAATGCATTAAGCATTGTAGGTGGAGCCGATAGACTATATATTAATGCGTACCTCCCAACTGCTAAGATATATTTGAAAAACAAAAAAAAAAAACTATCAGCCTTACCAACACGGGAACGACGAACCACACGCCATCGCTGCTTCTTGACGACTGACGGTCACGGTCAATGACCCGTAGCGACCAACCGACCCAGGGACCCCCTGCCTAAAATTATTTGAAAGCCATATTGAAATTCCTGGCATATATAGCGCCAGGAATATGTAAATTAATATTTATATGCATTATAGGCCTTTCTAAAGTAATTTATAGATCTGAATATCATATATTGTCTAACAAACGAATTATTTAAGTTGATATTTTAATTATGCCAGATACACGTCTCATCTCTCACAAGAAAATTCGTCGGAGGATTTTATTTTTTTTATTTTTGTGTATTTATATATAAAAAAGAGTTTTTGAATTCTTGTAAAACCACTAGCATGCATAGCGTTTCGAGCAGATCCTTAATCCTAATGTTTACCCTGGAATACGACCCACCAAATTGTTTAACAACCAATTCTCTGCGGGGGTAAACAGTTAAGGATTGTCGCCCGGCCACGGGATACGAACCCAGGTCAAAGCGCTGGCGCGCGCTTTACCGCTGCTAATGTTATAACATTAGAACATAAGGTATTCATATATACTCTCTTATTCATCATAAATGAACATTGTATGATGAAGACATGACAGTATTAGTATACTTACTGTATTAGTAAGTATACGATTCTGTATAATTCTATAGAAAACAAATATTTTCCATCGTTCAGTGTGGCTTGTTGAGCTCGAAACCGTTGTGTACTTGTGTGGGTGATTAAATATGTATGTATATATGTCTACGTATATATATTTACATGTATGTATGAGAATGTGTACATGTATATATAACATTAATAATTTTGTAACTAGCGTCAAAAATTGTTATTTGCTTAGCTAAACGAACTAGAGGGTTCAGTTCCTGAACCGATTATGTGCCTCTATAATCCTTTACACCACCGCCCACGGGATGGGTATGGGGTGCATAATAAAGAAAGAAATTGAACCGATGCTCCTTATTCGTCTTACATCCTTTTGAAGACGTGTTCTGGGTCAATATCTTCCAAATTGTTCAGTAATTTAAAAGTTTTGCTGAGAGCAGCCCTGTCATGTCTGGTCCCTGGGTCCCTCAACCGTCCCTCTGGTATGAAAGTTGACTTAGTTCGGAAAAGATTTTAGTCGCCCGGTGTTGAACTTTCTCCAAAACAGATAAGTCTTTCTGAAGATGTGGTCTCAATACGTGGATATAATAATCCAAGTGGAAGTACACCAGAGATTTATACAGTTGTATAAACTACCTTTTCCTTCGTCAAAATTTCGTTTGCCTATTCTAAAGGATTGGGTTTGTTTTTATAACGGCAACTTCCACTTGTTGTACAACTATCAGTGATTGGTGGATTCTGACTCCAAGATAATGTTGATGATTTGGTAGTTGTGCATTGTTATGTCCCACATGGGTGAAAAAAATCTCCTGTTTTCTTTCCTAAGTTGTGGCTTGTTGAACTTGAAATAGTTGTTCCTTGTTTGTTATTGATTGATGAAGATAATGCTACCGAAGAAGTGGCATGGGAATGAATAGTCTGTAAGTGGAAGATTTTTTTTTGGAGTGAATGTGATCTTTGGACGTAAAAGGATATACTGCGTGCTGTGCTCGCATTTAAATCGTCAGTCTGATTCTGGTATCACGGGGTGCTTGTATGTGTTGCATCTGACCATAAATAATCATCATTGAGTTGCTTAACACTGATAGCCCAACTTGCTTTTAAATTAGCCCAAAAAGCAGCAAGTAGCGAAATTAAAAATTTGGGAGCGCGGGGGCTCTCAAAAGTAGCCCAATTCGCTACTTGTACAACCGTGTATCGAAGTCCTCCCAAAGTAAAACTACTGACATTCACAGAATGGAACCACGAAACATTTACCTATAACTCTTGGGCACTTATTTACTGCTAGGGTAACAGAGGCATTGGCTGAAAAGAATCGTGCCTAACCATTTCTGTCATTCCCGATTGTGAGTCGAGGACGAGCCTAAATGTCTTCTTTCTCCCTTTCCAATATTCATTACTATAAACTTACACCAAGGGTTATATAATAGTAATAATAATAATAATAATAATAATAATAATAATAATAATAATAATAATAATAATAATAATAATAATAATAATAATAATAATAATAGTAATAATAATAATAATAATAATAATAATAATAATAATAATAATAATTTATTTGCAAGAATAAATTATTGTCCTACTAATTTTCTCATTGATATATCAATTATTGTGATTTCTTTATGAAGTATTATTATTATTATATTTAGTTTGATTATTTATTCTTATTATTATAGCGGTTTCCATTATAATTTCATACTCTCGTTACCCATCAATGCTTTTATATCCGGAAATAATTGCGCTTAAAATGTTCTGCTATAAATCTAAAAGATAGAATAGTACATTTGTACGTGTTTGGAAAATATATATATAAATATAATATCGATGTTTCCGCCATACCAATACTAAAATAAATACCCATGAATAATATACTTCTTTTAAAGTTTTATACTCTCTTACATAACTCGGGAATAGAGAATTTTGTTTATCAACAAACGTTCCCTGCGAGGTAGGTTATAGAGCGCATCTGATCCCTCGTTCGTCGTCACCCTTCAGTCAACAAGATATTGTGGTAATATTAGGTTAAATAAATCTTGTACAAGTGATCATTTAGTAATGTGGTGAAGTCTTCAATATGTTAATGATATAAAAGAGTAGACCTGTATTTCTCATGCTGCTAAAATGTTTTCACCAACAATGAGTAACATTTAAAAAAAAAAAACTGTTACTGGGATACAACGCCAAGTTGTTGGCGGCTTAATAACATTTTCACGTTTACTAGTTGTATCTCCAGAGGCCAAGTCCACTACGGGCTCACCATAGTCCGTGCTACTTGCAACTTTTTGTTCCGAATAGCTGAATCTTAAACAACAACAATCTATCATTCCCAGGGAAGATGTTAGGTCTTAAAGTTTTTTAAATTCTCACCATATGATTTCTAAATAGGTACAATATTCAATATAAGTAGCCAAGGACTGGCAATCTCATCCTATATCAATTTATCAGCCTATTGTGAGCACCTCAGAATTCAGTTTTAGCTATAACTTAAAAATTATATGGGTTTTACATAATGTTGTATATATAGTTCTATATACATTATCACTACCCTATGCAGGCAACGAACCACAATAACGTTGCTGAAGTATGTTGGCCAATCCACACACTAGAAAATGAAGGGACGACGACGTTTCGGTCTGTCCTGGACCATTCTCAAGGCGATTGTGAATGTGATTGTGAATGTCAACCAGCCAGCAAGACAATCGACTTGTAAATGGTCCAGGACGGACTGAAACGTCGTCGTCCCTTCATTTTCTAGTGTGTGGATTTACAGTATCACTACCCTGTTTGCCATGTTCATGTGGGTGGGTAAGAATCAACCTGGAGACAAAAGGTGAATTAACAGTAAACAAAAGTAATAGTTAATAAATACAAAAATATAAATATAATTGGATTTATGTCATCATTCATAATACAATATATATAGCAACACATAAACAAGCACTACCACACTTCAGCATTCACACAGCACCTCCACTGCTGCATAATAACCAAAACAGATTATTGTAAGCACTGTTAGTCTGATTGTGTTATGAGTGCAGAAGAATAACTCGTTGGAATTTGATGGAAAAAAAGAATCCTGCTCCGAATGGTTTAAATTGGATTGCCCTACTTGCAATGTTCATCTAGTATAATGTTCCAATTTCCAGATTGATTGTAAAATTTGCTTTCCAACAAATCCATTAAGCCAAACTCAACTTGCTAAAATGTAAAGTAAATTGGATTGATTTTATATCGATAAATTTGTGTTTCTGCTCTTATATAGGCTTCTTGAGTGATGCATATTTACAGTACTGTAATTTGTGAATTATTACTATACTGTATAGCCATACTGGTTTATCATTTTTTTTCATTGTTTATCATTTTCAAATTTACTTGACTAGACTACATTACACAGGAATTTTGTAATTTCTTTTGAGAGTTTCAACCATATTTTCAATCATACTAATACCAATTACAACAAATTACAAGAGCAGAGAGTAAAAATACGGTACAGTACTGTACAGTACAATACTGTATTTACGATAAAATTGTGTTTGGCTTTCCACAATATTTCCAATTCATGGAATATACAAAATACATATTAAATTAAACTTTCTTCATTACAGTGCAACAAAATCCAGTGACAATGTCTGATGGAGAAGATTCTCCTGTGGCCGTGGGAGGAGGAGGGGTTAGTGAGCGTCAGTGGTATGTACCAAATTTGGACAGCACTGTGTCTGGTGACTCCCCACCAGATTCTCCTGAATCAGCAAATGCATCAAACATTCATACTAGTAATGAATATATGGAGTTGGATGAACCAGAGATGTTGGATGAGAAAAAAGCACTTCTGGAGGAGTTTGAGCGTAAACGGCGAGCTCGAATGATTCACGTAACAACAGATGACAGTGAGGTGAGTAGAGCCACATACGGGCAATTATAGATCATGGTCATTTTGGTATACAAACTTTATTTGAATTTGATTAGTATACAGATTTATGTAAATTTGGTTCCTTGACCATTATTTAGCAACTGAGATAATTTAACTGAAACCCAACTTGAAATGTTAAGTAAAAATACTGTAAATATGCAGTTGGTATGTTAAGGATTTAACAATTTTTATAACTACTGGTATTAAAATTCACTGAAGAGTACAGTATTACTGTACTTAAAATTAGGTTCACAGTTGCCTTTATGGAACACCTATATGTAATGCTCATGACAACTCAGATTATATACCTTTTATTCTTTTTCTCTTTGTGACAGGTAAAGCAACAATTGAGACAACTGGGTGAACCAATCTGCTTGTTTGGTGAAGGCCCTGCTGACCGGAGAAACCGCCTGAAAGAACTTTTGTCTCGACTTGGTGAAGATGCCCTAAAAAAGACAGCGGCTGGGCAACAAGAAACTGACACACCAGAACTTGACCAACAGCGACCAGAAGAGACATGGTATCATGAGGGGCCACAGCCATTGAAGGAAGCACGGATGTTTATTGTTAATTATTCTATTCCTCGTGCTAGGGCAAGATTGAAAAAGGAGCATTTAGATTATGAGGTTCCAGAAGCAACTCGCACTGCTAGGAGACAGGAAGTTCAAAACAAATTGCGATCATTTGGTCTTCTAGGAAGTCAAAATGCTGACACACGACCAGTTTGTTACTGTAGTTTTAGTCCAGATGGAAAACTTTTAGCAACCAGTTCATGGAGTGGTCTGGTCAAGTTATGGCAAGTGCATAACTGCTTAGAAGAGCAAACTTTTCGGGGCCACAATTGTTATGTTGATTGTGTTGAATGGCACCCTAGTGCCACCTTATCCATGGAACCAGCAGGTCTGAATTTAGTGTCAAGTGGACGTGATGGAACTGTTCAGCTTTGGAGTTTAAATAGTGAGGAACCTCTTGGAGAGCTTCCACCTCTTGAGGCAAGAGTATCTCGAGTACGCTTTCATCCTAGTGGGAGGTTCCTTGGGGCATGTGTGCATGATAACAGCTGGAGATTGTGGGACCTAGAAATTCGAGAAGAGGTCCTTTTCCAAGAGGGACATTCAAAACCTGTTTATTGCTTAGCTTTTCAAAATGATGGATCTTTGGGTGCAACTGGTGGCATGGATGCTTCTGGACGTATATGGGATCTCAGGACAGGGAGATGTGTCATGTTCCTCAGTGGACATCAGAACCCAGTGTTAGCCATTGATTGGTCACCTGATGGCTATCACTTGGTAACAGGAAGTGAGGACAACACAGCAAGGGTTTGGGATGTGAGGCAACGTCGATGTATATATATTATTCCTGCTCATACTGGTATTGTTACTGGTGCTCGTTATGATAGGATTGGAGGTCAATACATCGTTACATGCTCATATGATGGATCGGTTCGTCTTTGGTGTCATGGATCTTTCCAGGCTATGCGTGCTCTTGAAGGACATGGGCAAAAGGTCATGGGTGTAGATGTTTCGCCAACAGATGGCATTATTGCAACTTGCTCCTTTGATCGTACTTTCAAAATTTGGGGACCAGATTAGTGCAGATTGTAAATGAGAAATAAATAATAAAATTTGTATATTATACATTTTTCATTATCATTCACATAGTTGTAGTTTGGCTTAGCTTCTGAATTAGTCTTTAATTAAAATTTACATCTGAATATTGTCAGAGAAATATTGCTTATTAACCAGCTACTCAATATTTTTTTTTAATAACTCGTGGCAAAATCAAAACTTGCTTACTCAATATACTTGACCAGAAGAGACAAAAAGTGTCTGCTAATGTCCAAAAAATAATGTTATAAACATTTTCCTGAATGGTTAGAGAACAAAGGTGTTAAAGATATACTGTAGTGTGGCAAGGTAGTTTATTTTACATAATTGCTGTTGAATATAAGAATAAGAGCATTGCATTCTATAATGGAATTTAGCAACAAACAACAATGGAGAAGCTGAAGTGCAAATATTATATGCCAAGAGCCATGAAATTAGTGGTAGGAGATACAAATTTGCATAGCAGGCTAATGACAATCTGAATGTTCCTTATAGTGTGTGCTGGAATTAAAAAACAATTATGTACTGTAATGTAATTCCTTCTCGTTAATATGGTGGGTTATGTAGAATCTTAGATAATTTAATAATACTTCTTATAAATACCAAAATGTATTAGATTATATTTGAAACAAATGAAAAAGAATTTCATATGCTAGCTTGGCATTTTTGTTGTTGTTGAAAAGTTTCTAGCAAAAGGTAAAAGTTGTATGCTGCCTTTATGGATTTAGAAAAGGCATGACTGGAGTAATTGTAAAACACTGTGGGACATTTTAAATATCTATGGAATAGGAGGGAATTTGTTAAAACAGTAAATGCCTTTTATACAAACAACATACACAAGAGTAAGGAAGGGGGGGTAAATATAGGAGAGGCAAATGATCATTGCCACAGAGTAAATACCCTGACCGTGATGCACCTCAGGTCTGTTGCTTACAATGGTGCCTCAAAAAAAGGTGGCCAGCTTTTACATTATAAAAATGTTGACTATGCCTAATTGTAGAAGAAAGGCTTAGGGAAAATTTAGGGAAGCCATGCATCAAATGCCCAAGTGCACTCAAGTGTGTGCCTTATGCTGCAGTTCAAGGTCATTAACTGTTGCCAGTCCAATTACCGGTGCACTCAGCTCAATCTGTAATCACTAGTCCTCAATTAAAAGGTTGTCTTTTTTTGCTAAACTATTCCTTTCTACTGCCTTTTCTTATCTAATTACATTTTCTCACTTGCATTTTGTACTCTAAATTTGCCCTGTATTATAAGATAATGACTAATGATTTCTGACAGGAAAAACTCCTGATACAACCACCCAGATTGGCGTGTAAAATTTATGATGAATGAAACATATTATTAATAATCATATTTATTGTTGCTTGCATGTTCCATTTTATACAATGTACATTTCATCAGGTAGAGATACACTGGGTTTCACTCTCGATAAAAGAATGGAGGCAATTACACTAGTTCCCAGTGGTAACATTTGTGTTATGAAAATATACAACCACTGAGGAAGCTGGGAAGTTGTTCCTAAAGGTTGAAACCACAAACCATGATGCATCCCATCACGTACGTGGTGGCTAAAGATGCATACCACTATAAGTGTACCCAATTTCAAACACTCCATGGAATGCTTGACAACAGCCGAGATGTAGAGAATAAAAGTCAGAACAAGTGGAGGCAATGAGTAGTGAAGAAAACCTCTCATCCATGGTACACGTGGTTCAGTCTGGTAGGAAGAAACAAGTGAAATTAATAGTAACAGTGTATGTACAGTACTTTCAATGCTGTAAAATTTCAAAACTGATCAATAGTCACAGGTAAAAAGTGTATCACAAAGTCAAAGAACTATTATGTAAAAAATAATAATAATAACAATAATAAAATTACACTTGTGTTACTGTTTTTATCTGTCATCACCACTACCTCATTTTCTGCAAACATGCACTGGAGAGGCATTAGCATTTTAGACTTTAAATGTACAACAAAAAATAATTGTCATGGAACTACAGTACACTGTTTAATTTTAATAGAAGTTATACAGAAATACCTAATAATAGCAAGACAAACATTTTATAATTCTTTTAAATATTGCTGCAGAGTTCTTGGTATAGCGTATAAAAAAAAGAAGATACATGATACATATATATAGTAGGTACTGTATTTAAAGTATTAAGCCTACCAGCCAAGTGAAAATAAGAAGTACATAAAAATGTGCATCTGAAGGAAAACAGCATTGAGAGCATATTATGTGTAAACTATCCAGCTAAACAAAAAATGAACTGAATATGAATGAAACTTTTAAAAATTGTTACTTACTAAAAAATACATTTACTAAGGAATGTATTACTTACTAATACTTACTAATACATTCCTAAAATGTCACAAATGTTTAACAAAATCATGATATATAAAATAAAAGTTAACTTACAATTATCAAGTGAATAATATCCTTGTAAATATGGTCCAGATCCACTATGCAGGACACCATGAAGGCCACACTAAAGTTGAATATAATGTCAACTAATATGATCCTTTGCTTGTTCCATTTGTTCTCAAATCCAAGACATGAAAGCACATAGGATACATCCAGCACTAGGTCAGGACAAAGAATGCAAGTCAACCAAAAGGAGAATCCTCCAATTAGACCATGTACTGCTGTATCTGTAGCTCTGAGCAGCGATCTACAAATAAACGAATATCATAATGAATCAACATATACCGAGTACTGTACTTTATATCTCAACCCCTCTTTCTGGAAGGTCTCTTGGTAGCTCCCTATAGCTTGCACTCTGGTGAAGTTAAACCTTGAGAGGTGCACCAGGTTTCAGAGATCCACACTGATCTGTGGATCAGTGATCAAAGCCAAGACCAGAATCTGGCTCTCTCTACAAGGCGAGGGGAAGATTAGGGATCAGAAATCAACTCAAAACCAAGAAACATTCACCAGATAGATAGGCGAGATAAAACTATCTACAAGCCTGCAGAAAGAGATACATTGTCATACTTTCTTGGTTACTCCCAGAAGATGATATACCTCTGGGATTGGCAGAACAAATAAACTGAAAACAAGCTTTGAGCTTGGGAAAAAATGTCTTTCTCTGCATGTTTCTGCCATTCCCTCTCCTACCAATTCTTACTCTACCTTGTTTGTATCTCCCAAGTATCCTATATAATCTTGCAGAAATGCGGTACAGTAGTCCCATTTTCCCGAATGCATGCATGTTCGAGAGCTATTTAATAACATTCAGAAACATATCTACATGTACATATCTGTACAAGCTAAAAAGATGCTTTCTTTAAATTAAATTCTCTCATTTTTTTACATTGTTTTGATTAATACTTAAAAAATATGGCGTGGCTCAAAAATTCAGTACTGTACTGAACATATTTAATTCTGTACTGTACATATTTAAAATAAATTATTTCATTAACAGAATTATGGACAAGAAAGAAGACACAAAATAAATAACCAAATAAAAGTCAGTTCCATTACAGCCATACCTCTATTTAAAAGAATGTGTCAAGCATAATCTATTGACATCTAAATTGCATGTCATTTTCATTCAATTTTGTAGTCATACAGAATTTTAATAGTGTCTGAAAACTACATCTCTATTGTGCACGTAACCCATCATACTGATACCATAGACCTAAATTATTATTTCACTATGCATCTTTTATTCCAAATAATCTATCATTAAAACAAAAATATAAATTAGTTTACATTACATATATACCAGTTTAAGAATTGCCCGAAACGCTATGCGTACTAGTGGCTTTAGGTATTGTATGTACTAGCTCTATCTTTAAATCCAACATTATGTTTGTAACTACAGTAATCCTCTATGTATGTACTTTTACCTAAATAAACATTTGATTTGATTTTAATTCTATAATAAACATTATTTACTCACTTGGGTGGTAGTTCCAGAGTAATTTTCTCAACAAGGATGTCTCCAAGCAAAGCAGTGATTAAAAGTGTTAACCAAATAATCACCGATTTCAGAAGGACTGCCATGCTTGACAGACACCAACCCACTCACAAACTCTTGGCCTGGATACCATATTGAAATAATCAGAATATCATGTGTTAAAATTTTATTTGTATTAAATAAATTATTGCAAATTAAAGAAAATTACTTATAACCGTTAAGACTGCATTATCATCATTATTACCCCAATTTCCCTTTTTTGCGGTGGGAATACATCAGCCCAGGCAACAATAAACAAGCAGAACTGTATTGGAAAATTGGTTTAAGATACAATATTCATTAACGACACTCATCCATTCACTCTATCTTACATTCTATAAAGCATCATGGAGAACTAGTACCATCAAACTGCATTACACCATCCACAGCAACACCCCTATTGCTTTATAAGATTAGGTGAATGCTTCTCATCAATTGTCAAATAATTTTTTTTACTGTAAAACATAAATAAGAAATAATAATAATTTACAGTATTCTCTATCCACAAACTACCATCACCTTGTCACTTTCTATATCCCATAAGCTATTCAGGCTCAATGACTACTGCCACTCACTCAAAATGTATAATATTCCCATCTTCTCAGCCTCCCTCCTATCCTCAAATTTCTTTGAATATATTCTCTTCGCTAAACTGTAATGTTCCATTCGTCCAACTTGGCCAAACTATCTCGGTATACTTTCTTTAATCATGCAATTCATCAGCTATATAAGACCTGTATACATGACATCTTATATACTTTACTACAATTACTGTACTCCCCTCATACACTAGATTCACACCCTTTGATATTTTTTGGACCTAACTCCTGACCTATACACATACAGTACATGTATAGTACAATGGATTTACATAGCGAATTACCAATTTTGGGGATTTTGTATTTAAAAGCCATATTCTTCCCAATTACACTAGATAATAGTTTATAATAATAATTCAGTGTGTCGGGGGACAGGAAGCCAGAGTGTATTTATACACATTAGACTTTTAGTGAGGTAACATCCCCCCCCCACCCCCAGATCAAATTACTGACCCAGCCCAGGATGCAACCCCACAACAAGCTGACTAACTCCTGAGTACCTACTTACTGCTAGGTGAACAGGTGCATTAGGTGATAGGAAATGCGCCTAACCATTCCTGTCCCGCCCGGGATTCGAAACTGGAATTTTCGATTGCGAGTTGAGAACGAACCCAATTGTACTACTGGGACCCTTATATGACATAGGTGCACAGATAGTTGAAACCTGAGGAAATGTAATGCACTCCTCAGCATCTTCCTGCTTATAATCCTGTGATACACTCACCAGCATCTTCCCGATTATAATCCTGTGATGCCCAGCTCCTCCTTCGTTTCTCAAGCACGATCCATCCAGACATCATGAGTTCTGCCCTTCTTGTACATTTCTTTCCTCCCCCTCTGCTCTCTCTCTCATCCTGGAGTCTAAGGGGAGGGGAAACAATCAATGGGATCCCAGGTAAAATGTCTATTAATGTGTTCGTTTCATTATATTTTTGTCCATTATTAATTCCTTACTGCAAATAACCTTTGTCATGTGGATGTATTTTTAATACTGTAACACATTCTTTAATTTGCAAATAGAAAGTTACTTAAGTTTTGTTTGGAAAATTATAAAAGAAAATTAATGAAAAATTATCCTTGCAATATTATTGATCTGGTGCATGAAAAGTGTCATACTCGGAGGCTGGTCTTGCCAGTGTCACCCACAAGTGGTTAATAATGCATTTGTATGTTCAGTACTGTATGTTTTTATATTGTATAATTGTACTCATTAATACAAAGAAATTTTAATACTGTAGTATATTAGTACAGGGTACTGTAATGGTAATGTCTTAATGTCTTCTCACAGACATAATAACATAGGATAAAAACCCACACTTGTGTATACGTGAAATTTATGTAGGGAATTTACACCAAGTCTTTTTGCACTCCGAGTGCTTTGTCAAGATCTTAATGCGTGATTAGAACGAGACTTACATCTCAACGACTAATCAGATTAGACGTTGAGATGCAAGTCTCGTACTAACCACACACTCAGATCTTGATAAAGCACTCAGGAGAGTGCAAAAGACTTGGTGTAAATTCCTTACATAAATTTTACATCACCACACAATAAATTAAATCATACCCCCTTAGCTCTATCTTTTCAAATATGCAGTTCACACACAAGTACCTTGAACTATATTCCTATGCATATAATATTCAGGTAAATATAGACTTTGGGTATACTTAGTTATGTTTACACTACCACACAGATACAACCTTCGATTGTAAATTTATTTGCTTCAATCAGAATACTGTACATTTCAGATTAGCCCCCACTGACACTGTTAACCTAGCCCCCACTGACACTGTTAACCTAGCCCCCACTGACACTGTTAACCTAGCCCCCACTGACACTGTTAACCTAGCCCCCACTGACACTGTTAACCTAGCCCCCACAGACACTGTTAACCTAGCCCCCACTGACACTGTTAACCTAGCCCCCACTGACACTGTTAACCTAGAGTGATTACTGACCCCAAATAAGCATTATACAAACTCTACCTGGCCCCTGGAGCGTCAATACATCACTCTGCAGAACCTAAACACGCTATAAATACTATAAATTGTACCTTACGATTAAGAATAATAGAATATGTGGTATAGCTGCTGTATACAGCCTCTGGTCCATCACCACTAACTTGGTCCACCGCTCAACTGATCCTGAAACTCCTCCATTAACGGCAACTGTCAAGCAGTTTGTGTTCATATTTATCTAGGAAATAATATTTGATTTTATCGATCTAGCAATCTGTGCTTCCCATGTCTTTAAATATCGTACTATGCTTATATGTGTATCGTTGTCCTTGGAGCTAGTGGCAGATTGGACCTGTGCGAGTTCTTTGTATGAATGCGGAATTATAATTCAAGATACCTTTATTTTTGTATTACTAACAAGCTCGAGTATATAGTAGTGTACTGCTACCCCTAGTATATATGGCGGGTTATGGAATATAGGTCAAGGGTGAGTATATTAGAGAATGAAGGGTCATAATCTACATCAAGTTATTTATCAGATGCGTCATACTAAAGGCAACCAGGGTTGCCAGATTCAAATTGCTAAAAGTAGCGAGGTGACGGCCTAAAAGTAGCGAATTTGTAATAAGAGTAGCCCAATTTTTTGTTTAGTGACTGATACGGGTTTCAAAGTAATCTATTATGATATATAGAGTACAATAAACGATTTTAATTGTTTTATTAACATTATCTCTGCATATATATATTTAACCGATATGATAATAGGATAACTTACCAATATTTACTGTTTGAAGCTTAATGGGTGTGAAGTCCTTCCACGTCTTTACAGTTGAAGATTACCAAGATCTTGATCTGCATCCACAACCTTATTCTTGTATATTGCAGACTCATATTTAAGCATTGACATGAGTGGTTCAAATGACGAGCAACAAGTTACATTTTCTTCAAGATATGTTTTGATTCTCAAGACTGATGTCAAAAGCTCAAGTCCCATTTCCATTCAAGATTTCTCAGCTTAGTTTTCACAGACGTTACTCTCGAAAATATCCGTTCAACCAGGGCATTACTGATTGACAAGCTGTATATTTTCAACACAAACTCAGCGAGGTCAATCAGTATGGGATCGCCAGCAGTGTTCTTGACAGTTATTGTCTTGGTCTAAAATGACGATTCAGATGTCGGAATTTGTCCCTTACAAATGTTGGATTAGTCAATGGTTAATAGTAGGCGCCACTGACTTTCAATTTCACTAAGCTTAGATTGGTCAGCTAATACTAACGGAAATTCTGAAAATGGTAGCCATGTAAGCTAAGGCATATGATAGGTAACAGATTTTTCACCTTTTTTTATAGTTTCAACATTACTTAGAATACGAGAAAGAAGCTATTTACAAGCTTTCATTAAAAAATTATCGCATCTTTCTTGAACATTTTGAAACTTTTCCTGGGTTGTAAAATTGTTTTGTCTGTTAGTGGCCAGAAGTGTTGAAAATTCGTAACCAAAGTCAACTTTCTCCAGGGGCAGATACATAGAATTGTAGTCCAAATTAACATGAAGCTTTGCATGATGAGGACGAAAGATTCTTCTGAGTATTCCAAGAGTGAAGTTTTCGAAGACAGTGTGAAGGCTATACTGATCTGCTTCATCTTTTGATAAAGTAAATTCATCCTTTCAAAACCATTTAGGATTGGTTTGAGACATGTGAAATATAGCATATTGGAGGGATCAGCGTACATTGAAAATAGTTGTCTTTCAACATATTTATCACAAGAGGAAAAAGCTATTTGGTAATGAGTTGTTAGAGAACCCCACTGATCAAACGGCCGCTTTACACTACCGCTCCTTGCCAACCATCGTCTTCCTGACAAAGGTATTAACTGTAAGGGATCTTTCCCATCATTTATCAATCTGTAAATTTCTAGATAACTTTCTCCCCTTAATGAAGATCTGTGGAACCAGGTGTAGCTTTTGGGATGAAGTATTATTAACAATTAAGGTTGGGAAATCTATTGCCCCTGGGAAGGATTACCTTGCCTTGCGGTTACTTTTTCTTTCAAAGGTTCCTAGGATCAACGTCCCCAGGGGCCGGTCTCTGACCAGGGCTCTCCTGCGGTAAGTGGTCTAGTCAATCGGGCTGTTGGACTCGGCTGTGATTTGTACAGATTATATTATTAAAGCATAAATAATCATCATTGAGTTTCTTAATATTAATAGCCCAAAGTAGCCCAACTTGCGTTTAAACTAGCCCAAAAAGTCGCAAGTAGCGAAATTAAAAATTTGGGAGCGTGGGGCTCTCAAAAGTAGCCCAATTCGCTACTTGCAGCCCAATCTGGCAACCCTGAAGGCAACTAGAATTAACCGATCCCTTTATCGTCATCGCCCCTAAATCAACAACAACTAGAATTAATACGTATATAACTGGTATAGTAATAGTAATAAGTAATAGCAATAACGATAGTATTAATAATAGTTTAAAGAAAAAGAAAATATGAAAAATTAAAACCACAACAAAAAGGGAAATGCTATATAAGGCCAACAAGTCATTTCACCCAAAGCCTCAAAGACCCAGAGACACTTCAAGATGTTATACGACCAAAGATCACATTCACTCCAAAAAATCTATCACCTACAAAATTCATGCCCGTGCCACCTGTTGTGGTGGCTTAATCGTCAACAAAAAACAGATACACCCAAACAATCTATTCCTGGGGCTTCTGTGAAGGGGGTCAAGATGAGCTAGTCTATGCATTGTTATACTAATTTAAGAATTAATTTCAGCAACGATCGGAATATTAAGTTACATTCTCTTAATATTTATCTTGGTATACTTAATGTTAAGTATCTTTGAGGTACGAGGGGTTACAGAGGCCCATAACACCCAAGGATTATCCTCAACGCTTCGTCTGGGGTCCACCGGATCCGGATCACTTGCGAGCTCATTAACCTACTAGTTAGTAGCACTCAAATGAAGTCATTTTTTTTTTATAAAGAGCATAAATATTTTTTTACTATAGACAGTCGTGACAAGCAATTCAGTGTTACTACTAGCGAGGTTAGAGGTTTGTTATTTCTTTGTGCGGTTTGTTATGTAAAAACTTACCTTTTTTTCTTGCAAGGATATTCCTGCGCGGGCCCTAAGCCTCTGGCTGGCCCACTAAGTGTTGCTTTGTTGACCAGACCATACACTAGAAGTTGAAGGGACGGCGACGTTTCGGTCCGTCCTGGACCATTCTCAAGTCGATTTTGTGAAGAGGAGGTAGAGACAGGCAATAAATAGGCAAGAGAGAGCTGAGGAGCAAAGTAAGGTGTAGGGGATAGTAGTAAAAATGGGAACTGCAGAAGGCCTATTGGCCCATACGAGGCAGCTCCCATTATAACCACCGAATGAGAAGGAGATAGAAATAGGAATAAGAAGAGGATAGCAAGGGAGCGTAGGAGAAGACAATGAACAGGAAAAGGGGAGAAGAGAGAAAGAAAAGGAAAGGGAAAGAAAGATAAATGGAAGGGGTAAGCTTATGTTAAGTCACGTTTGTTAGAAAGATTGGAGCATTACTGTGAAAGGGAAGAGTCCACAGCAACAAAGCCAGGACTCAAGTTCATGTTGGGTACATTGTGTATCAGAGCCGATTCTACAAGACGGCGTCTGTGAAGAGGAGAGGCAGGAAAGATTATTTTGGAGGAAGACCAATCAATGGGATGATTAGAATCCCTCACATGGCAGAAGAGAGCATTGTTAGTGTCATAAGTGTTGCTTGTTTCTGTTTTACTTGGGCGGAGTATGAGTATTTATGACTCGTATATGGTCGCTTCAGTAAGATTTGGCCCCATGTGTTTAACAACTTCTTCTGCTCTGTTGAATCTAAGTTGAAATCTTAATGGGTTTGTAACTATGCCCTGTGTTAGATAATGTTCCAGTGGTCTGTCGGGCATTTCTCCAGTGCTGACATTTCTTTTCATCTTCCGGAACCTGTAAGCCATTTACCAGTTCCATTACTGTGACGTACTCAGGAATAGCGCAGTAACTATTCTGGTGTTGTGCCAAACGCACATTAATTAAAAAAAAAATCTGCTGGTACCTTTACGGTGTGGAAGCTGCGGGTAACGAACAAGAGAATAAACACTTTATAATATTTAACAAAAATTAATAACAATTTACTTTACTCTTACAAATTAATAATAAATACTTAAAGACAAAAAACCCCTTGACCACTTTGTTAAAACACAATCAAAAGAAAAATATATTCAAGTGAACTTACGTTACTGACAAAAGGTGAAATATGACTTTATACAATGTGCTCTGAATGCCAACCGCCAAGGTGAGGACACAGCCCCTCTCCTGTGCCAGTTAAGTCCATTATGGGCTCACCATAGCCCGTGCTACTTGGAACTTGTTCCGAGTAGTAACACAGGGTAGCTAGGAGCACCAGATGGTTTCTGCCTAAGTTGTTGTTGTTTAAGATTCAGCTACTGGGAACAAAACGTTCCAAGTAGAACGGGCTATGGTGAGCCCGTAGTGGACTTACCTGGCACAGGAGCGGGGCTGTAACTGCTGCCCCCTAACTAAGATTGATTGATGAAGATTAAGCCACCCAAAAGGTGGCACGGGCATGAATAGCCCGTAATGCCCTAACTATTGATTGATTGATGAAGATTAAGCCACCCAAAAGGTGGCACGGGCATGAATAGCCCGTAAGTGGTGACCCTTTTGAGCCATCACTAGTATCAAGGGCTGATACTGGAAATCTGTGGAGGTGCGACTGCACCCTGCGAGACGGGAGATGTCTCCCCCGTGGCCCTGACTAAGCCATTGTTGTTGTTACAGATTTAGTTACTCAGGACGAAGTGTCCATGCAGCACGGTCTATGGTGAGCCCGTAACTGACTAAGCCTGTTGTTGTTGTTGTTAAAGATTTAGCTACTCAGGACGAAGTGTCCATGTAGCACGGGCTATGGTGAGCCCGTAACTGACTAAGCCGTCAACCTGAATTTATATACAGGTGGTGACGTCACACTGGCGCAAATCGGAGTCAAATCGGAGTCTTGATGAGCCGGCATTATAACGACCGTCATGATGTCTGGAGAGCTGGCGAGAAAGCCGGTGTGCGGCTCATGGGAGGAGAGACTGTTGGCCCCAGGACAATACTTTTCGGCTCACATTGTTGGTGTTTCTTGATGTTAAATCTTGATGCTGGAGCTTATTGATATTGAGGTCGTAAGGAACAGACAGATTCTACTGCTGTGCA